TTCCATCCGATTTTATAAATTTTCTTTGATGCTTTTTAATTAGTCAGGTCACAATCATCATCATCATCGATATATATATATATATATTTACAATATTCTATAAATTCTAACGAATGTTTGGCGCCAAACATTCGGTAAAATTTATAGAATATTGTAAAAATTATGGTCTATTACCAACATATATATATATATATATATATACGTAGTTATAATACATTTTTAATATTGTATTTACACATTCAAATTGTACAATTGTGTTATGTGTAGTTTCAAATTATTTTGAAATTCTCTCGGAAAAATTTAAAACTTTTTACTATATATATATATATATATATATATATATATATATATATACGTTACTTTTATCAACAATTATTAAAAAATTTTCAATTTAATTTCACCGCGATATCGATGATGATGATTTTGACTTGACTGATTAAAAAGCATCAATGAAAATTTTTAAAATCGGATGGAAAATTTGTTATATTGGTATATTCGTATATAAAGCGAGCAAAAGTTTAATTTAAAAGCGCTTATAAATCTACGCATATTGGCTCAGCTTGGCTTGGCTCGTCTTGAAATTAGATGTTAAGCTAGGTGTGGTCTCAAACAATTTGGAATTCTCTCAGAAAAATTTAAACTGCGTGCGCACATATGTAGCACTGATTACTGTTGCTTCAATAATGAATTTATATACTATATATATATAAAGCGAGCAAAATTTTAATATAAAAGCGCTTATAAATCTACGCATATTAGATCAGCTTGGCTTGGCTCGGCTTGGAATTGGATGTTAAGCAAGGTGTGGTCTCCAACTATTTTGAGTTTTTCCCGAAAAATTTGAACTGCGTGCCTACATATGTAGCATTGATTACTGCTGCTTTTATAATAAATTTAATATATATATATATATATATATATATATATATATATATACATATATATATATATATATATATATTAACTAGAATCCATGTATACAAATAATTAATAAGATTATATGTTTATATGTTTATATAAACAATTATACCATTAACAATTTAATATAAATTAGTTAAGGTAATTGAATAGGTAGATTGGATTATTTTTATTAAGCAATTTGAGATGCAGGCACCGCTAAACTTTCTGATGAGAATTTTCTCTTTCTCCATTCCACGGGCTGTGTTTCAGCATCAATCTCGAGGAGGACTGGCACCAGTTTTGGAGGACAACGTAGGAACCGGAAAGCATTCAACATTCTGCCTTTGTCGAATGGACGACGGTAAGTTTTTTTTTACATTTTAATCTCTTTATTATTTTTAGTTATTCTTTATTTGCCATTATTTCCATTTTATAATTTTTGGCTTCTTAGATTCTAACATTCATTTACTGCTAAGCTAATAAAAAATTGTCTACAGAATGATGAGAGGTGGGCAGTGGTGGGAGTCAGCACGTTTCAGATGGAAGAATCAGCGCGTAGGAAGAATCAGCGCGTTGGCTGTTCGACTGACACTCAGAAGTTCAGATGAAAACTTGTGTGCCGATCTGAATGTGGTGGTCGGTGCAATGGATTGAAGTAACGACGATTTTTAAAGTAAGGTTTAGTTTCGTTTTTTTTCCTCATTCATTCATTTTTTCCCTCAATCTTTCAAATTATTCTTCCATTAATTGACGTTAATTAATTCTATTCATTCATTCATTCTTTTAACTAATTATTTAATCATTCAGTTCATCATTTATTCGTTCGTTCCTTTGTTCCTTGATTTACTACTAAGCTAATAAAAATAACTTTTTACAGAATGATGAGAGGTTGGCTGTGGTGGGCGTCAGCACGTTTCACATGATGGTCTCATGATGATCGTTCCGATGACAATTTGAAGAAAACAGCAACGACGATTTTTGAAGTATGGTTTAGTTTTTTTTTTATTTTTCTCATTCATTTTATCACTATCTTTCAAATTATTCCTCCACTAATTGATTCATTCTATTCATTCGTTAAATCATTTATTGATTGATTAATTAATTATTCATTCATTCAACCAATCATTCAATCATTCAGTTAATCATTTATTCGTTCGTTCTTTTGTTCCTTGATTATTTACCAACACGCTAATTATAAAAAACTTGTCTACAGAATGATGAGAGATGGGCTGTGGTGGGCGTCAGTATGTTTCAGATGGTGGTCTCATGATGATCGTTCCGATGACAATGTGAAGATAAAAGAAAATTTGTTCTTGTCCCATCGTATCATTGAAAGTACTGGAATTTGTCATCTCAATAAAATAAGTTGCCTTTTTTTCCAATGGCTTGTTTTTTACTTTAAAGAATTATTTTTTTTTTCAATTTAGTGTTTTTCAGTATCCGGTCAAATTCATTCCATCGATGCGTGTCAGATGATGGTCAGTGCAATGGAGGTTCGTCCGTAGTGAGTGAAGAAGTTTTTGGAGAGTACACGCCCGCACATTTACACAACACATCAATAAAACACACACATACACAACATCCATTCATTCGGTGTCGTTGTTATGTTTTTCTTCAAATTTCTATTTTCTTTACCAGACTTAATTTAATTCGTAGGTAAGTTAGGGATTGAGATGAGTTGAACAATCGTTGGTAGGCTAGGGCTTAACATTAGTTAAAAAGTTTCAAGTAAAATAAAAACGCTGAAATATGTAAAATAAAATACCTGAAACATGTAAAATTCCAAAAACGTAGAAAAACATATTTGTAGGTAGGTGAGTTTAGTTAATGATTATAAGTAAGCTAGGGCCCTGAGAGTAATTTAATTGTAAGTAGGTGACTGACTACTATTCTTGCGACTTTTTACTAGTTTTTTGTGACGTGTTTGTTTTTGCTTCGCAGCCCCACACCAACAAAACAAACTACATTTTATTCTCGTCGTCGTCTTAAATTTTACCTTTTTGAACAATCTTTTTAATAATGTCTATTTATTTAATTATTTATTAAATGTTGACTGGTTTCTAGTTTTTTTAAATTTGGTTATATAATTTTTGGATATTTCTTGATTTAATAATTGTGTTTTTCTTTCTTTACTAAAATCTCGAAATTGTTTATAGATCTGTACAGTTAAATATTTGTTTGAGTTTCAACAAGCCTTGCAAATATTTTTCAAATATGGTTCATTGATTGGTCGATTGGTTGGTTGATTGATTGTTTGATTGATTGATTGATCTCATAGTATTGTATATATGAAAAGAAAATCCGATTAAGCCAACATACGGCTTTACTTGGCCACTGTATTTTACCAGACAAAAGCAATTTCTTTTTTTATATTGACAAAAATAATTGTGAAATGAATATATTGACTTATTTAAAGCATTATATGTAAAGAAAACCGCCATGACACTGTTGTATGAGACCCAGTAAGCCACTGCAGTAAGCCAACGTATGATTTCAGCAACCATAATTTCTATGAGCACCAGCAGAATGTAAAATATTCATTGAATATAATGAAGATAGTTGTTCAAATAACAATTTTGATCTATTTAGGCCGTAAGCAAACAAGTTTTTAACATGATCGAATAGTGTAAAAAACGGTGACTTTAGTTCAATCCTACTAAGCCATTCGGCTTCAGTAAAAAGCCACCGGATTTCACAGGACCAAAAGTATAATTTTTATATTCAAATTAACAACAATAATTTAATAATACATAATTTTATTTAATAAAATCATAATTTTATTTAATAAAATTAAAGAGAATTACTACAATGTTTTAAGCATATTAAGTCAAGTAAATATTTCATATAGCTTGCTCGTTAAAATCCATGCAATTTCGTAAGCCAATAATCCAAGCATGTCAAATAGCCCGACTCTTGACTCGAACGATAATAAATCACCCTCCAAATCTCTTCCGAAAGTAAGCTCCTTGTTCGACCGTTAAAAGTGAGCGAAGGCCGTTATATTTATTTTAGTTATGTGGTTTCAACCATATATATATATAGACTACATATATGATTTCAACAAACAACTATCACTAGATATTTACTTGACTTAATATGTTTAAAACGTTGTAATTAAATTGAATTATGTAATTTTAAATTATTTTGTCAATTTAAGTGAAAATATTGCTTTTTGTTTCAAAAACACGGCAGCTAACTTACCGCTTAATAGGGCCATAGGTTAGCTTACTTACGAAATTGCATTAAAATTGACAAAAATAATTTCAAATTATATAATTCAAGGTTCATTGGTTGATTAGTTGATTGTTTGATTGGCTAGTTAAATGATTGATTGTTCGATCAGTTGATTTGATTCAGCGGTTGATTGATTGATTCATTTGTTGATTGACTGGTTAATTGATAATACAGTATCAAACAGTAGTATCATCAAATGAATAAAAATACTTTTTCAAAAATTTAAAACATTTTCAATTTGATTTCATTGCGATATCGATGATGATTGTGACTGACTAATTAAAAAACATCAAATAAAAACTTATAAAATAAGATAGGTGGTAATTAATTTGTTGCGAAATCGTTGGAGAAAATGACGTCATATTAACAGTAGTTATTTGACTGCACGGCAGTGAATTAGCTGGTATTAGGTTTATATTCGATTCCTATCAAATATATTTTACCAAATATCATATGCACGCAAAACTAATTAAAGAAATAGATAGATAGATGGATGAATGGATGGATAGATGGATGAAAGGATAGATGGATGGATGGATGACTGGATGGATGGATGATGTGATAGTAGTGTAGAAAGAATAAGATCGTTGGCTCTTCGGGTGACGCTCTGCAGTTCGGATGACATCTTGTGCGCCGATCTGATGGTGGTCGTTGGTGCAATGGATTACAGTAACGACGATTTTTGAAGTAAGGTTTAGTTTCGTCTTTTTATTTTTCTCATTCATTCATTCATTCATTCATTCATTCATTCATTCATTCATTCATTCATTCATTCATTCATTCATTCATTCATTCATTCATTCATTCATTCATTCATTCATTCACTCACTCATTTATTCATTCATTTATTCATTCATTCATTCATGGCCGAATCAGGTTTCTTGAATAGGGAAAGATAAGCAACAGTGCATGGTATCTTAAAGTTTTAAACCAGCAGCTGAAATGGTCTACAAGAACCCTCTTTCCAGGAACTTTTTTCTGGCTGCAAGGTGATGGTGCCCCTAGCCATAGGTAAAAATTAGTGAAGGATTTCATCATGGCCAATGGATGGAAAACTTTGGATTGGCTTCCTCAATTTCCAGATTTTAATCTCATAGAAAACTTATGGTACCTGCTCAAAAGAAAGGTCTGGACTAAGAACTTCAGCAATGCAACTGAACTAAAGGTTAAAATTATTTTTGTATGGAATTATGGTTTAGAAAGTGAACTACTTGAGAAGCTGGTACTTTCAATGCCTGCTAGTCTCCTTTCAGTCATCAAAGATCGAGGTGGCTCAACCAAATTTTAAAAGAGGGCAGAACTTGTTTCTAAGCTCTTTTGAAACATAATAAACCTTCTTGACTAGTTAGGAAAATTTTATACAATAATAACAAAAAAAGAGTTAGTTATAACATGAATAAGCGTTCATAATTTTTTGAGCGCTTCTAAGTAAAAGTGAATGACAACGATCAAATAAGTATTGACACTCATTACGGCTGAAAAAACCTTTGTTCTAGAGTTAATAAGTTTAAATTGTTAATCTCAATGTTAGTGTTAAATTTTTTGACAAGTTTGTTCTTATCTAATTGTTTTCCTTTATTTCGACATTAACAAGTTTAATTTGGTGAACACAGTTTTGGTACCGGATGACTCGGAACTGTTCTCGGCCAGGCGTACTCGGCGCTTGGTATCTGTTTTTTAATTTATTTTTATAAGTACATTCACCTTCATTAGAAATTTAAGTTTAAACACCTGACAAAACTTTCACCTAGCGTTATAATGGTTTTTAATAGTGGTTATAATGGTTTTTATAGCGTTATGATGGTTTTAAATATTAATATAATAAATGATAATCATTAACAAAGGTTAAAATTCGTAGTAATTACAAATAAAATAAATAGTATAACGTACGTTACAATCCCCTTCACGTCCACGCTGACTTCTGCATTCCCCATCTTTAAAATTTCAAAACTTGCACCATCATTAGATTGCGAATGACTGGCTTGGAATGGTTCGTAGACTATTTCTGTTACCTTTACATTCAGCGTCGTGACAAATTCACTTTGGCTGTATTTGCCTTCAAAAAATCAGTGTATTCAAATGAACTTCACTATGAAGTTTATAAAAGTTATAATTATCATAATTTGGACGCTTTTCAGTAACTTTGATCAAGATTTGTCTTAGTTTTTGAATTATCTTACGTTTAATTGCCGTTAATTAAAAATGTAGAAAATGATTTCGGTTAGGTAAAACAACACTAGTAGTGTCATTCTTTGATTTGAAATTTTATAATGAAAATCATAAAACTAACTGATTAATTATTTAAAAAATGCAAAACGTAAAATTTTAGAAATTCTTAATTGTTTTAGATTTTTGTATTTTGATGTCTCACCAACAACAAAAATGTAATATTATGGACCATGCATAAAAACGTGACAACTGACAACACCAATTTTTGAAAAATACCTTCGCACTCATCTTTTATTCCGGTTCCTGGCCAATAGAAATTATACTGATTAACTTTTTGCAGCTCGTGACCTCGACATTGGTCCTTCAACGTCAGATTGAATAGGCAGATCGATGGATTAACTCTACATTCTCGAAGCTGAACAATGATGTCATTTTCGTCGTAATAAATGTCCAGCATACTGTTGCAGTTATCCGATATTTGACTGTCTAGATATATTTTATTACAATTTGGTGGGTCCTGCAATCTGAATGTCATTGGTGATCTGTTTGAACAACTTTTTATTAAAATGTTTGCGTCTGCTGATGCTACTATTGTTGACTCGTATCCTGTTGAAAGATTATTAGAAAATGGTTTTAAAATTTATTTGATTTGATTAATTTATGTACTTTTGATTACAAAATTAGCAGATTTTTAATGTTATTAATACGTAAGATGGCTGATTTCTTTAAATAAATTCTTTTTTTTAATATTTATTAAATTTTAATTCATGATTAAACCTTTTTCAAGTTTTTTTAGCTCTAAGGGTACTGAAAAATGTATTATAGTTGTTTCAATGAAAAAAAAAATAGCTAACTACAAGTACAAAACGATATCAGCATTCATTTTCAGCTTATGTTTGTTACATTAGGCTGAAGAACCGCCAAAAATTTCAACTGTCTTTTACCGTAATTCAAATACAATTTTGTACATTTTGGTAAAAAAAACCTAATCGAAAGATGCGTGTATAGTGAGGCTTAGAGGCTTAATGCTAAATTTTGACCTCTTTTAAACTATTTTCGTAGTTGCTAATTAGCTAGATCGGAGGTGGCAAATGGGCAAACTACGGCCCGCGGAGCGCATGAAGCCCGCCAAGCCATTTTATGTGGCCCGTAAGATTTTGTATACGTAATTTGACGAAAAAATAAAAAAAATGATATTATAAGTAAAAAAAGGTCATCAGCCACAAATGTTGCTCCCGGTCAACATTTCAACGTTCTAGAAATTCCCTCCCGGTCAACGTTCGTAAAATTTTAAATTGATATAATAGTTTTTAATGCGGCCCTCACAGCAAAAAGTTTGCCCACTCTTAAGCTAGATCATTTTTCAACATCAGAACCTCAAAATTCCAAAGGATATAAATAAATTAATTCAATATATAACTGATCATCCAAATTTGAAATATTGTAGGGTAGTAAAAAAAAAGACTGAAAAAATGACTGAAATGAAAATAGAACCTATAAATAATATGAAATAAGGAATTGACAAGTCTTAATAACCGATTGGCAATCAAAGCAGAAATTTTGTGATTGTAGAAAAACCACAAGATTTTTTTCGGTAATCAATCTCAAAAATTAAATCACTTTGCACAATAACTTTTCAGTTTATAAAAGCTTTGTCCTTAGAAAAACTACTGAAGCATAGGCTGTATTAGTAGCCATATATTTGTATAATAATTATTGTTGCTCACTTCTGGCAGTAAACGTTGAATTCGATTCTGAAGGATTGCATATTTCGCAGCAGTTACTCGGATTTAGATTTCCGTTTGCATAACATTCCTGATTAATGTAACACGTTCCACCCTGTATCGGAAGTTTAACATTTGTTTTTTATTTCAATTAGTAGATTGGTCAGCTAGACAATCATTCATTCAGTCAGTCAGATGGTTGGTCAGTCGGTCAGCCAATAACCGGTCAGCTGGGCATTCAATCAATTTATGGATATTCGTTTGGTCATTCAGAGTAATTTACATTTTACATTACATTTCCATGATATTCTACACAATTATTAATAAATTAATGTAAAACGTTCAATGAGACATGCATTTGTACGAAAATTATATAAATTTAGACCAAGCTTAAAATTTTCGATAAAATAATCTGTAAATTTGGTTACGCTGATTCGAGACAGAATATATTCAATTGCAAGTTATTATCATTTGATGTTGTATTATTTCCTGCATCCTGCCAAGCACTCGGTTGAAACTTTTCATACATACAAAATATTAAGCTTTTGAAACTTTGTTTGCATACAACTAAATCCGCACCCTACCAATTTGTTTAAATATAAAAAAATACATTGCACTCTATGTAAATAAGCGAACTAAAATAATTTGAGCAGTTGATTTCTTGTGCATTTTATTGCGTGTTTAGTTGTTTATAAATTACTACACATCAATGAGTTGTAAAATTAGAAAAAAAATATTACCTTTTGAAAACATTTATAAGAATCATTTTCTATCGTACAGTTTAAGCATTTTGAATCGTACACAAAAATTGTGTCCACTTGTTTAAAGAAATGTTTTTCGGCTATGATGACGGCGAGTTGGATGTGTAGCGGAACAGTATTGCTGTACGGTGAGGGACACAAGATGGTTTGGAACGTTTCAAATATTGCTGTAACGTTATTCATCCATGCACTATCTGTCTTATTCTATGAAGAAAAGAAAAAAATTTTAACGTGAATATTTAATGGTAAATTTTCAAAATTTTACTTTGAATGAACATATGATTTTGTCGCTTTTCATAAAAGTCTTCCCTTCAACCAGCAATAGGTTGCAGTTTGATGTTTCAAAATCGCAGATCTTTTTTGTGCGCAAGTTCTAAAAATTAAAAATATTTTTGTTAAACCACAAAAATTAAAATCAAATTAATAATTATTCAATTTTGTTATTTTTAATATACTTTATTACGGCCCATTTTTTTAAATAATTTGCTCCGCACAACGTAAACGGTGCATGTAATGTAATACATAAAAGCTGCCTGCAGGATGATCTCTAGCGAAGGGTGTTTACATTCCGTGCAAGTGAACATCGCATCGTTGGCAATTTGACTGCCGCCGAGCTGTGCAGAAACAAGATTCGAACACGGTCAGTAGGCCGTAAGAACGAAAAACACTGCACTTGTTAATTACGGTTAATAAGGGAAAATTCGAGAAATTTAATTACTATAATTTTTTATCAAAGAACATGATGAATAATTATTTTTACAACCTGCGGAACAGCTGAAGAATTAACGTTGCAATATTCTCCTTCAAATCCTTCATTGCAAAAGCATTTTCTGTTTTCACATTTTCCATTGTTATGGCAATCCTGCAAACATAACTTCAACAGGTTCTTGTTAACTTTTGTCTTCGTTGTGTTCGTCGAAGTTTGCTCAGTGACGTTTTTAATCCACAAGGTGGAATTCTTTGCTATGTTGTCGATGCACAACTTGAATGTCTGCAACTTCGATGCCTCTTTCCAGTCAAATGATCCACTTAGCTACAATATTATAAAAAGTCATGTGGAGTGCCGACATCAGATTTAATGTAAAAAAAAGTGACGAGGAAATATTATTTTGATACAAACCTGGACGTCAGTGTAACACGTCTCGATCAGGTTCTTTATGTCATCTGCACTGACACAGTTTAATCCAGCATTATTTTTAATGCTATTTTCACACATTTTGTATGATTGGGATTCTTTTTTCTGTGCCAGGCTCAAAATTGGAAGACTCTGTAATTTTTAATAACAAATAATGAGTTAGTATTACCATGCATGGATGCGGATATCTTTTTTTTATATTAAGACTTCTGCAAGAAACATACATGTTAAAGTGAACAACTGAAAAGTTAAAAAAGCTACTCAACCAAGTCGCAAATGTGTCATCAGTCGATAAAGAAACATTTATTTTATTTTGTTTTTTCTTTTACCTACTGAATGAGTACGTGACAACTCACTTTAAAAAGTCATGCAGGTATGTTTTCTTGATTACTTATGATGTGTATGCATGCGTGAGGGGTGGGATACATTGCATTGACTGAATCTAGAGTGTATGAATGGTGTGCACGTTTAAGAAAAATGGGTGGAACAGATTGAGTTGAGTCCCTATATTCGTACATTTACGATATGTAAAACCTTAATCTTTATCGCACTCACATATCATTTCAATTATTGAAAATATGTAAGATATATGAAAACAATATAAATTCATACCTTTCCATGAAAATTACTATCCTGAATAAACTCAGAATCAAAATAAGAGTCCAAGTTATAATTGTTTGCAACATTTTCTGTGTCTCTAGCGTATCGAGTTCTTCCTCGAATGTGAATGTTCTTATTAATTTCTTTTCCGTTATTCATCTCTCGGTCACTTTCCGAGTTCATAACAGCTGTCTTAGGGTCGCACACGACAACCGATTGGTCTTTTTCAAGATTACACGTGCAAAAAAGTTCATCCTGGTAAACTTTGCTAGTCTGGGACCATTTGAAATTTACTATTTTGCCAAACAAAGAATATTCTTCTGGAACTCTGTATATGTCATTGAAAATGTATTTTTAAATACTGTTTTTCAAAGTTTTACTGTTTTACCTCCAGCTTTCAACAAATTGACATAACTTCTCGTTTGAGCCACAAGAAAGAATTTCGTCAATTTCAGTGTAGTCGTTTGTATTCAGACTTATGTCGTTTCTTGGATTTCCGTCATAAATGCCACACAGTCCAGATGATGAATTGAAATCCTCACTGGAAGCAAAAACATTGATGTTGATCCATTCATCTACCATGTGCATATCGACAAATGATCCAGATGGCGTATGTATCTGTTATTTAATAAGCCGTCAGTATTCTACAATTTATACAAATTTTACAACGAACTGTTTAAACGATAATAATAAAGAGAAAAAAAAACTTCATTACCGTGTATCTCCTGCCCTCGTCATGTTCGAAAACTCGCAGACCGTCAACAAATCTGTTGCCTTGCTCCAACGAGTGTCTGTGTAAAGTGTTCCAACCATCTGGAAAGTTTGAGCCTTTAACTATTTTCTTATTTTTTCTATTACATTTGTCAATAACTATAACGTCGTCGTCTACGGCAACAGCCACCGCACAGTTGCAGGCGGCATTGAAGCAGCGTTGAGTTCGTATATGTACCTTTAGGGAAACATAAAATCAGTGAACATTCATGCAAATATAAAAACATTTTTTATTGTCATTTTTATTCTTGTTGCTTAAATCAATTTCATTATGTTCTTAAATGTTATTTCTTTTGATATCAATTCAACAACCATAATAATGTTTGAAACATTGGGGAGAGAGAGGAATTTATGTTATTCAAAGATTAATTTCCTGGAATTGTTCATTTTTTTCAACTTTATTTAAATTTCAAAAAAGTAAAAGTATAAATAATGAAACTTGGAACATTATCAAAAATTTCACAGGTGAAATAAAAATAATAACCATTACTTACTTATCGCCATATTTTAAAACAGTGCAAATATATATATATATATATATATATATATATATATATATATATATATATATATATATATATATTCCCACATACAGATGTATATAGGAAACACGAGAATTTCTAAGCCTATCTATAATCAGGAGTACATTGTTCAAATAGAATGTACTTGTGAAATGCCAAAAGTAAAAATAGATAGAGTAGTAGGAAATTGCAAGAAGTCATCTATCTTGAAAAAACGACAAAAAAACAACAGCAAACGAATATAAAAGGCTTAGTCTAATACTCAAGACTTAGTTTCAAACATCAACATAAAATAATTTTATTAACTGGTTAATCTCTAAAAACAAAAAGTGAATAAAAGCAAAACTTGAAAGTCAATAAATTAAAAAACTTGTTTCTGAATTCTTGAATGCTTTCTAGGTTAAAAAATCACTTTCAATTAAAATCACAGCCGAAAACCAAAACAAAAATAAGCTAAAAAATGTGGACATTTCAAATTATAATAGAAACTATTACCTTTGTTCGTAAATTTTCATTAGAATATAAAAGAAATTCTCCTTCTAAGAAAATATCATAAACTCTGCAAAGTGAAATTTTAAATAACTGAATTTTAAAATAAGTCAATAAGCTGTTTATTGATAATAAGGTTGATAACAGATTCAAAAAACATCACAAATTGCGCCATTTTACAAATTTCTGTTTCTTCTGATGTAATATAGCAATTCTAAAAAAATGTATGTTACATAAAGACTGTTCCAGAAATTCTCATTGTGTAAACACGTTTCGAGCTTGAACACGAATATCGCGAACAGAACAAATCAACATAAAGAAAAATATTTTGAAAGTGTTGATGCCTCGGTTGCATTTATTTAAGGACAAATTTAATGAGAAATTTTATCGTTTTATCGTAATTGAAAAATATTGTATAATGTACGCAAAAATGCAAAATAAATAGAGAAAGATGTCGTCGTATGTCAAAACGTATGAATAACCTGCGTGTAATTATCAGATGTCACATGATTTAAAACGTATGTAAGTATCAAAAACGCCCGTAAGGATTAAAACGTACGATCAAAACATTCAAAAGAATCAAAACGTTTGTAAATTTTGAAACACTTTCAGAGGGAATTTCTCCTCAGGTTTTAGCGATGCTGACAAACAGAGTTTTGGGCGTTTCACGGTTATGAAAAAAATACGTAGAAAATAAGTTTATAAAACAAAACAAATAAAAACTACAAACGTTTTATCGAAAGTTTGTATATGTGGATCTCCGTAAGAGCTACACAGAGCAGAATGCACGTCAAGAACCATTATCTCAACGGAAGGTATTTGGTATTCATTCCACATGTCGGTTGCCACGGTGGTGAAAATCTTTCTGAAGTTTAAATAAATTTTTTTGTTTCCATCATTCATGAAATCCCTAACAGCTTTGACGGAGATGTTGTGGACTTGTTTCCAGTTTTTAGGTGTTAAGGTAATTGAGCAATCTCCAGACACTATCTCATCTTCGTCCTCAGCTGTTTAGACGAAATAAAATTGAATGTACGCAAACAAACATATAAATTGAAATCCATAACTTCAAAATAACAAAAAGCATAAGTCGAAACATGCCAAATAAAAAAAATTTGTAAACTCGAAAAAAATATTCTGTTTTATTTCCACTGTCGTCTTCAATTTCTTCAAAATTGGTGCAGAGAAAAGATTACAATAGATAATATGACACGGTCAGGCAAACGCCTCCAGGTGAAGTGATATATTTCAATTCTTATGCGAAATTCAATAGATGACGACTAAACAATAATTCTTAAAAAATCATGTTGCTTTAATTAAAATTTGTTTTTTAAACAATTATAGACTTACAATAATAGTATGTTCCTCTCTGTGGATTATAAGCAAATTCAATAATAATTTTACAGTTACTTTCATCTATGTTGGTTAGACATATAACAGGAATGGTGGACTGTAGTTGAATAATCCCAACGCCGCCAGATTCAGTGACGTTGATTATTCTGTTGAATAACTATTTTGGAAGAATTAATTCAAATTTTCGTCCATACAAAAAAAATATTGTTTATTTTACTTTAATGCCTGCAAATAAAGTTTCGCTTCTTATTGGCCTGCTGAGGACTTTGGAAGTACTAGTTTTCCATTTTGACCTAATTTCACAGTATACCTGCATAAAAGAAAAAATTACAAAACATATTAGAGGTTACAAATTAATTGTTATCAACATTCGATCCAAGCTTTTTCTTAATCCATTCTTCTTTTAAGACAGATCTCTTTCTTTCCACCATGTGATCTGTCCACACAGGAAGGTGGTAGGTGTTGTTGTCATCAATACCTGTCAAACCAACGTAAATTATATTAATTTGAGTACTATATCTAACACAATATAAATATGTTCGCACGTACTTGTCACATACCAATCAGCCACCAAAACTGTCCGCACATCGATTCTTCCCCTAAAGTCGCAAAAGAAAGTTAGTGAAGGATCGGTTTGGCTCATTGTCAGCTTAACTTGGCCATCCAATTTAGGAAAGTTATCTTGGAATTTTTTTAAACTTTATATTAATTAACTTTCAATAAATTGATTACCAATTAAATAGGTAGTAACAATAGACCAACCAGTGCAGCCGGGGGTGAACCCATTCTCAGAATTCATTTCTGGAGGGCATGGGTTTTCCGTTCCTGTAAAAATTTTCAGGTTCGCTCGAAACATAACGTACTTTTTCATTTTACATTTGTACGACGGAATAACTGTTTGTTTACATAAAATTGCTTTATGGTTCATTACATTATATAACATTATATTCTCTCTTTTTTCACTGATAGGAAATTTCTTTGTTTAATTTTTTGTTCTTTACTTTGCAGTTCTGACAAACGCAATACCACATGCATCTCCTTAGTTACAAATGAAATTTGGAGCCACAATATTTTGAAAAACATCCATTTTACATGACATATGTTTTTCTTATTTATTTTTTTAAATTAATTTTCTAAAGTAACAACAAGACACACAGGGCTTGCGAATATTCGCGAACGGTGAAAGTGGGCGAAAATCTAACTGCAAGACCAAGACAAAGCAGGCACTTTCACCATTACACCATCTTGCCACCGAAGCAGTATATTGGTGGTTTGAGACATATGATAGTCATTGTGCTTCTAACCAGAAATATTCTAACAAGACCATTACGCAATAACATCGGCGCGAGACTTGATACTTATGTCTAATCTAACTCGCCAATCGATTTGATTGGTTGGTTTGTCCATTTTTGTGTTTGGATGTTTAGTTTGTATATAAGCTTATAAGATTGGTTGATGTTCAAAGTAATGTTACACACACACACGCACACAAACAAACACAAACACACACACAAACGCACAAACAATTGATATGTGCAAAAACACATATTACCGGCGCAATATGCAGAGTAGCCGTGTGAAGAAGTTTGGTGAAGTTTGTACACGTAATAGCCAGAGCAGTTCAATATGTGGGTGACCCAACGGGAAGCACAGCAGTCATGTTGCCTGCGTTGACACACATAATAAGATATCGCATCCGTTCCATCAATATCAGGATGTTTTCCTGAAAATTTATTAAATGAGAATTCACAAACAAGTAAAGGTTGCCTGTGATTAAAAATAAAAAATGTAATTACTTTGTATACAAAATGAAGCAAAAACGTTTTGTATATTACGATGCAGATTAAAAACTTCAAGATGGATTTACGGATGAATTTAAAATAAATTTTTTATACAAACCATCAAGCCAGATTGGGTACTGAGTGCCGCAGGAAAAGAGTGGTGGGCACTTATCGATAATTTCGTAGCCACCAGGGCTCCAAAACCTGTACCATGCGCCTGGTGAAATTTTGCTGTCGTGTAAGGCGTTAAGAGTTGAGTTGATGATGTTGTCTCTACGGCGTTCAACCTGGGAGATGTTTGTGTAGCTAACGCATGGGTGGCTCTTTCCTGTATTTAAAAATCTTTCTTTTAACGACAAATTCATTAAAGTCAGATTTGAAATTTAAACTGTTTTGAATTGTTGTGAATTTTTTTTATTAAAATTGCAATCAAATCTAATTAAATTTTTTTCTTTAAAGTATTAATAAAAATTCTAAACTGTCTTGAACTCCTCCGGTGAATAGAGATCTTGAAAGAGGAAGAAAATATACAACACCTTTGAAGTGAAATATTCAAGTCATGTCAATAAGAAAATAATTAAAAATAAATAATAGGCCTACCTAGAGTGACCAAAATTAAAAAATATTTTCCCATTTCTTCAAAATTTAATTTCTTAAAACATTATGCTCAGTTAGATGTGCAATGATGCAACAATTTAAGTCGCGTTTTGATCTGCCTTATATCATCAGACGCCCATTGAAGAATAACGTTTCTATTTTAATTTAAAGTCCAACGTAGCTTACTTATTTGAAAATAGTATGTATTTACTTTTCAAATTTTTTTAGAATGTAACGTGATTACATTTAGAAGATATATAAAAACATCATGTTCTGTTTTTTTTTATTCTACTAAAATACTGATGCTATAATGCGATATTCATTAAACAAAAATACTAAAATCGGTTAAATCTCTGTCTGTAGGTGCAAGTTGTTGCTCGGGCGTGGCAGTTTGGTATGGCATTTGAAAACTGGAAGAAAGACCTCATAATTTTTTTCTATAGAGACAAGAGCCGTGAATGCATAAAAATGTAGAAGCATCACACTGCTGTCATTTTCAAACAGTGTTTGCTCGTATTCTTCTTGATCGCTTCCCTCTTCTGCTATCGTCCCGGCGTCGTAGAAGACAAAATGCCTTCACACCAGGCAGATCATATAAATAGAATATAGATATAATGGGCATCGCTCACTTTTAGCAAAAAAACCTGGGTAGCAATATAGAGTCTTTTGATGAAATTGAGCGGTGAGTCACGTGACAGCGTAAGAAATGTTTCATCGCCTTTTTTGCGTGAAAATGTAGAAGCATCACACGGCATTCTTATTTTTCCATGTCAATTTTTTTTTCAAAATGAAAAGTCGTAAATGTTGCATAAGCTGTTGCTCTAATAGTGAGGCAACGATATTCAATGCTATTTTACATCGGTAAGTTTAGTAATTAGTTATTATTTAATTAAATAACGTTGTTTAGCTGGTATTTAGTATTTTTGTTAGTTAGTTGTTTAGTACTACTAGTAGTAGTAGTAGTAAATTACTTTTCAGTTGTCAAACACAGACACAATAGTAAACACTAAACAGTGTAATATTTTTTTAAACTTCTATTTCTTGTAATTATGTATTGTGATGAAATATGAAATGGGCAAGCGCCCAGGTTCTGGTCTACCTATGGATGCATTTCTTGCTACTGTTTGTTAAGGTAGGTAGGACTTTAAGGAAGCCTTTTTAAAGCAAGGTTAGGAAATCTTGCTGTTTCTAAAACATAATCCAGGCTGAGGCTAGCGTGGTTGGACGTTGGATGTCCAAAAATGAATTTAATTTTGATTTTTTATATTTTAATCTATTATATTAACACGAAATAGATTTCCATTGAAAAATTGTACACTTCTACAAAAATGGATAGAATTTGTTATAAAGATATTAGGTGATGTGAATTGGTTACCCAACAGCACTACAAAAATTTGCTGTAATCATTTTTGTGACAAAGATTTAAACCAAAATCAAAAAAAAGAAAATAGAAATGTTTTAATGGGTAATGCAATACTTTGCTTCGAAGTAATGAATTTTTTATTATATACAAATATATAAAATTTATTTAAATTGTCACAGATATGTAATAATGTCATGTTAGAAACTGATCTTAATATGAATGAATATTTTAAATTTTGTAAATATCATCATTGTTACAAACTTGATAATATAAACAATTGATTTAAATTTTTTTTAAAAAGTGTTGTTTAAACTAAGGACTTTACTAAATCTTTAAGATTACAAGTGATTTACTTTTGATATTTAAAAAATTTTAATTGGAATTATCATAGCAATTATAAATTTCGGTTGATTCATAATGTCGTGCACCTTCAGAGCAACTTTGAGTTGGAAGTTTCTTAAATTTTCCCTTGTCACGGCACTTTATGAATATTTATCTGCATCTTCATTATTATTAGCCAAGATTTACCCAGAATATTATGCTATATACCTGGACAAACCACTGCTGGTGTTTACCAGCATTTGCCTCTAAAACATAATCTTCATTATTATTATTATTACCATCGTTAATATAAGATTGGTTGTCTTGAAGTATTTATTGTATAATTACGTGAAGTCTATTTTTTCCTTAAAATTTTATTGTTTTGAAGTATTACATGTTTTCAATGAACATGTAATGTTTATAATATTTACTTAAATTTCAGAATTTAACTATTTACTTAAATTTCAGAATTTAACATATAGCCGTCATCAGTCTTGATGAAACTGTCATTAAAACGTAAAGTTAGTTATATATGTTATAAAATTACTACTATTATTTTATGTATAAATTTATCATCAAAACCAATAATTATATACATATCTTTATAATATAATGAATCTATATACTTACATAAATCTTTTATAATATTTAAACACATTTATTTGAGTATAATTATTAAATGATTATATTGGTCTTTTTTGTCACAAGATTAGCCTAATATTAATAGATATATTTGGTTTCTTAGATTTCAAACAAAATTGACATTGATACGTCATACAAAACTAATGAAGTTGAATGTTGACATTCTATTTATATGGATAACCATTTATACCGGCTAATTCACTAACAGGCAGTTAAATAAATACTGTTAACATGACGTCATTTGCCCATCCTATTTTATAAGTTTTATTTGATGTTTTTAATTAGTCAGTCACAATCATCATCGTCGATATCGCAATGAAATCAAATTGAGAATTTTAAAAATTTTTGAAAAAAGTATATTCATATTATGATACTACTTTGTTAACTAACTAATCAAACAACCAACTAATTAACCAATAAACCTTAAATTATGTAAATCTTAAATCTTTTGTATTAGTTGTTTGTTAAAATCCATGCAATTTCGTAAGTAAGCCAACTAACTTTATTTATTCAAATCCACTGAATTAACTAGTAGAAGCTGTTTGCTTGGCTTTATCAATGTGGACCCCAGAGAGACTCAGCTATGGCCATTAAATACACATACATACTCACACACGTACATATATGCAAACAAACGTAAAAACAAAATTTTTTAATCTGAAAATTTTTAAAAATTGAACATTTAATTTTGCGGGCGGTTTTTTTAAATAACTCTCTCGAATCCGCTGCAAACCGCACGAACAAAACTCGCCAAACCTCAAAATCAGCAGAGTTTTGAGAAATTTTTATCCGCAACCGCGGTTTGAAACCTCAGTGAGTGGTTCGTCATTGACAGTGGAGCCAGACACAAAAAATAAAATGCAAATTTGAAGAAACATAACACTACATGAGAAATAATCTTTATAAATGTGTTTATAATAATTAAAATAATTTAATAAATTAAACTCGGTTGAATTACTAACCATTATATTATCTGAATATAATCAATTTATTAACGTAAAAGCAATGGTACAATAATTAAAACCTTAATTAATATTAGTCCCTATAAAAAAAAATAAAAATAAACAAATGATCTGCCCTGGCGTTTGCAGGCTGAACAGAGTTTGATTGCAAATGTTTTAAAATATCGTAAACGTTATTCAATATTTTTTATAAATGGAGCAATTTTTTAAATAATTTTTCTAATTCGATAATTTTTATTTCATACTAAAATTTATCCAAGATATTTTTAATATTAATAATTGCAAAAATCATTTAGCAGCGTTAAAATTTACATATTTATTATGCAAATTAACGTTATAGTTCAATGAACATTTCTGAAATAAATACATCTTTAATGATAAAATTCATCTAAACACTAAACTCTAAAGTTTGATTTACTTTTAAACAACATTGAAACACATGAACAAATCTAATAATTGGAAACTTAAAGTGAACACGATCATTCATTCGCAAGTTCAACGAGACGGTGAACATTAAATGACTTCACATCACTGGAGCATCAATTATTTTTGAATGTTCCTCGAAAGTTGAAACCATCCTTGAGCAATCGAGCAGCCGCGTTGACAGCTTTGGCCTTCTGCGAGATGAACCACATAGCACCGTTCGATTCGTCTTCGTTCGGGTCACAGCCATCAATCCACTTTTCCATCTTTGTTGTCAACTGTTTTACATGATCTGCAATGTTTCATTTAATAGCTTTAAAATTAATCTTTCAAAGTTTGTTAAGAAATTCAATGTAACTATAATCTAAACAAATACTTTATTACCATTCCTTCTATTATCTTACCTGATTCTAAAACTCTTGATGTTTCGTAGTCTAGGCTTTATCTTGATTCGAGCATGTCTCTTTCTTCCCAGATTAATAGTGTTTCTAGAAGTTCTTACTTGCATCTACGTATAATAAAAAAACATTCGCCTTTTTTTGACAATTCTTCTCCTTGTTACTTCTTTAGTTTTATCTAGGATTGATTATTCTAACTCGCTCTACTATGGTCTTTCTGATTCTACACTCTATCCTATAGGTAAAACTTTTAACTCTGCCTCTTTCTTTTTTCATATGTCTCCATATCTTGTTCTTTTGCACTGGCTACCTATAAAATATAGATCAATTTTTAAAAGTACTTTTCAGATGTATTAATTGAACCTAAACGCCCCGGTTTATGATCGTCTTCTAGTTCTCACTTCTTCTTAACTCGTGTTAAACACTTTTTTGTTAAATCTTTTTTCTGGCCATTTTCTCTTGAACTCTCTACCTCCTTCTTTGACTAATTCTCCATCACATCTGTTTGCAAAATTCACTGAGGAGCGCTGTTGAACATCGCGGAAATAACACTTTACAAACTGATTGATTGATGATTGATTAGTTGGTTGATTGATTGGTTGGTCGGTTGGTTGGTTGATTGATTGATTGATTGATTGATTGATTGATTGATTGATTGATTGATTGATTGATTGATTGATTGATTGATTGATTGATTGATTGATTGATTGATTGATTGATTGATTGATTGATTGATTGATTGATTGATTGATTGATTGATTGATTGATTGATTGATTGATTGATTGATTGATTGATTGATTGATTGATTGATTGATTGATTGATTGACTGATTGATGGATTGATTGATTGATTGATCAGAATCAATCATGATTATTATATATTTTTTACTGATCGGTATTGATATATATTATCCAATAAATTAACTGTTATTATGTTATTGTAACATTAAATGTTGTTCGCTTTATAATGTTTTTTTCACAGAGCTATCATTTTTGCCCATCATTTTTGCCCCGCATTTTTTAAATGCGAAACATCTTTACTGTTTTGTCATCTTCCTTATACTACTCTTTAAAAAAGTAATTCATAAGGTGTTTGATCTGTTCATTTCATGTCATCAAATAATGCTGAAGCAATAACGTTCAAACTAAAAATTGTTAACAAGGTATGTAATGTTGAAAATGTTTATACAATTCATTTGAAATTATTTTGAAGACGAGTTTCGTAGTATTCACTCTCATTATATAAACAATTAGCCATGATGTGATCGACTTTTGTTAAATGTCTCTGTGCTTTCCTGTCTATAATGGCAGACAAACAACCAGTAATGATTTGTTTTACTGTTTAACCTTTTATTATTGTTTTTTCTATATCATTAAATTTATTTAAATAGAATAGTTTGTTGATAGTTTGCCGATAAATCAATCAGTTTGCGGTACGAAAATTAACATTACTGAAAAAACGCTCAAAAGTAAGTTTAAAACTAAATTATTTCTGTCCGTCTTATATTTTTGTCAAAGATACAAATTAGTAATGGCAGACATTTTTATTTTTAAAAAATTCATACTCACCTTTACTTAAGTTGTATGTTGTTTCTTGCCTCTTGATGTATTCAATGCATTGCTCTTTGTTCACTCCCAGAGATCTCATGTAGTGCGTTATCAATCTTAAATGTATTTCAGTTGATTTATAAATTTTACATTAAAATGACTTAACAAGATATAATAGTTTTAATGACTAGGCTTTCCCATTAAAAAATTGTTCACATGACGAATTCCCGTATTAAGTTGCGTATTAGTGTAGAGTTAGGATTGGGAATTAAAGTTTTTGAAAGTGTGGGTAATTGGGTTGCTGTGCAACTTTCTGAAAGTAGGATTGGTTGGTCGTGTGGAGAAAATTGCAGCGTGCAACTGCGATGAACTGGAAAACTCAACAGCCCGACACAAAAACAAACCTCAATTGCTTGCATCTCACATCATGTTCGCTGTTCGCGGATTCTGTATTTCTGTAATTAAAAAATATTTTCAATAAAATTGAAAAAATTTGATAAATTTATCTAACGTTCTAATTATTTAAAAAATTATTCACCGTACGTTTTTACATTATTTTTTATAAAAATTTTAATATCTCTAAAATTTTACAATTAATTCAAAAATTGATATGAAATAAATCAGTCAAAAGATGCTTTAAAATTTTCAATTATATTACAATTTAAAAATATTTATGAGATATATAAATTATTCGAAAAAACTTAAAAAATTATCATTAAACTTTCAAAAATGCACCCGGTCTGAGCAGCACGCTGTTGTTGTACAGTGAAAAATGAAACAGCGTTCCAAAACTTCGGAGAATGCCAAATGGAAAGATCTTTGAGGAAACTGTACAAAAACTGCTTTTCAATTTCTCCTTTTGTGACATCTTAAATAATTAAAATGCAAGTAATACTGAAAACAGCTGAATGATTTTTGAACATCTATAATCATTTCGAAACGAAATCAAACATTAGATGTATTGTTAAGGGGATTGTTTTTATTACTAGTTTACTTTCTAATTAGATGATATGATCTACGTTAACAAGCAACTGACATTGAAAAAGCGTGTGCTCAATAGACTGATGAGATCTCAGCAGCACCAGGTCGGATAAGCCGAAATCTCGGCAAAAAGCCCAGCTGGTCACCTCAACATTATTATTATTCAAAATGCCCAGCAGGTCACCTCAACAATATCGTTGGGTGTGCGAGTGTAAACGTAGAGTCTTAAACGGCATTGTGATTAAAGATAGAATTAATACGTAACAATCAAAACAAACTTTCCCGATATAAAACAAATGATAGTTCCATGAGGGTTTTCGCTGGTCCGTAGTCCTCAGATTCATTGCATTCAAAAAGTACAATCGTAAAAAATTGTATCAGGGCGTAGAATGTTTCATCAGCTATTTTTGTGACTGTTCCGTCTTGCTGAAAAAGTGAAACTCATTTTAAAATATTACATTTAAACTCAACAAAGTAAACCTTTTTTAAAATGTATTCGGCAAACCACAATCGTCCAAATCCTGTCTGTGAATTAAAAACATATTTGAAATCGCGCAACCCTTGCATGTTTCGGCTAAATTATAAATTGTCATATATAATATAATTTATATACTTTATTGTCTATATAATTTATTGTTTAATAAAATTTGATAGTAACTTAATGGACTTGGAACAATTTTGATGAACATATTTAGGACTAAAGACGGATATAAGAGTAAAGACATTTGTATGGAGGAGGCTATCACATTTATTGCTAAATTATTTGGCAGGAACTGAATAAATAGACAGGTTTTTAGAGTAGCCTTAAGAAATTGTTTGTGTGTTCGTTCCTAGTAGTTTAATTATAAAAACACTATATAAACATTTTAATAAAATAATTTGTTCATATATTGATAAATGAAATAGTTTTACATTTGAAAATAATATTAACCTGACTCATTTCGCAAAATTTAGATTTGCTTTTCGGGTTGATTTCAACACTGAAAATATATAAAATGAAATATGTAGTATTTAGTGTTTATTTGTGTTTTTAAGAAAAAACTTACTTAGTTTCAAAAATTTTTGAAATGAATGATTTCATGAAATCAGAACATTCTTTGGAAATCGGATCATTAAAATCCTGGTCGTCATTCCAGTTTTGTATTTCCGTAGCATTTTGAGTTATTTCATCGTCGGGATTTTTTTCAATTTCATCGCAACCTTCAGTTCCTTCAGAGTCACCATCATCGTGAGCTTCGGTTCGTTCTTTTACTGTTGTTTTATCTGGAATACTTTCGTCATTTTTGTCGTACAAAGCTGAAACCATTTGATAAACTTCTGCAACAACTGTACTGGGTAGGTCTGCTTCCGTTGGTGCGGGTTCGTAGCCCTCCATGAATGGGTTTGTGTTTCGTCTTTTCAAAACTGGTCTGGCTGTAGGCTGGCTTGGTTCATCAACTTCCGACATAGTTTTAGACAGATTTTTAGAACCATTATCGGACATTTGTCTCCCCATCGGCGCCGGTGGTTTTGGCGGACGTGGCTTTTTTGAGGTGTCTGGAACATTAGAAGCTTGTTCACTTTTTGGCGTTTGTTTTTCACTGTTTTCAACATTTTCATCGTTGCTACCTACAATGTTGACAACCTGGTCTATAGTTGATGATAACCCTTCCATAAAACCTTTTTTGACAGATCCTAAAATTTTCGATGGTCCATCCGTGAACGTTGATTTCAAATTTTTTTGCGTTTCTTGAAAAACATCTTTTGATGCTTGTTTTCCGTAAATAAAATCCATTATTATTAAGATGCAATATGGTTGTTCTTAGGTTCTAACAAAATTGTTATTTATCCTAAATTGTATTTTAAAATATACACCCATGCTATTTTTTACAATTAAATTAAGTATCCAGTCAATAAAACTAATGCACCAAATAAATAATTTGACGAAAAATATTTGTTGTTGTTGTTGCATAATTGAAACGTGCATTTTAAACGGCCAGCAGAGCCAGCAGTGAGAAGCCGGCAGAACGATGGCAAGAAGAATCAATATTGAGAAAATCAATGCAGTGCATCGTTAACTCTCCTACACTGTGCAACACTTCAAGAGCAAATGATTGAAAGTAAAATAATGAATTAGTGAAAAAGTTTTCGTAAAGAAAAACAAATCAAGAGTTTGAGCAAAAATAAACTTTTTGAAGGTTTCTAGAAAAAATTATATTTGGTTTAATTTATAAATATTTGTTCTACACTTGAATGAATTATTAAAAATTGTGGTTTTGAAGCAGATTACAATAAATCAATACAACAATTTGTTTAATTGCTGGTTTTTGAGCCCAAAATTTTGAAAATGTTAATTAGGAGAAAGCTCTTAAAGAATTTTAAAACGTTTCCTGCATAGTTTTATGAGCGCCAGTCGTGGAGTTTGAAAGGCATCGGATTAACGAATTGAAAACATCTTTTCTAAATTTCAATCTACATTATTTTCACGTTTTCTGAAAACAAACACAAATCAATTGAATTTCAATTAATGACATTTCACAATGGCACGTAACAATCATTCCTTTTAGAATAAATTTTTCATCAACATTTTCAATTAAATTAAAACCAAACTTGAACAAAAATATTCTTCAACATCCACAAATGTTTTTATTTATATATTTAATAATTTTAAATTAAATAATCATCTATATAAATCATTTTTTGCAGTTTTCTAGTTCGTGGTACCCGCTTACTCCAGCTAGAGTATCTCCTTGACGTCTTGGGCCCCTCGTGTGTCTTGCCACAGGTCCAATGAAGCATTATTAATTATTAACGGGGTTTAAAGTGGTTCAGAAGACTATGGTCTGTGTAAGAACCACTCAGCTCGTGTTATGAAAAAGAAACTTTTAAATCTTATTCAATCTATTTTTAAATCTTCAATCATACTCTTAACATGTATTCTATCAGTCTTCATACGTTTTTCCTGTTGGGAGTCAGTTTCATCCATTATATCGTTATAATATATCCAAATAAATCTATCAGTTCAATCTTAAGCAAGTCCATGAACAGATATGTCATAAAAATTAATAAAAATTTTATCAAATTAATTTTTAATTTTTATACTTTCTACACTTTTAACACCTCCGTCATCATCCGAAATGTTTTTCCATTATAAGTAAGGAACAGCTTTAAAGAGCTTTATCTAACATTATAAATTTAATACTATGTTGAAAGTTAAATTTTTGGGTGAATGTTTTTTCTTTGGATATGACGTCAAGTTAAACAAAAATATTGAGCAATAATCGATTCAATATGAATTTTGTAAACTATATTTTTATAATTTTTCTTTTTGTTGAGTTTGCGTTGAACTTGAACGGCACATCAGATTACGTTGAAAGACCACAGTGGTTGACACTTTCAGGCTATTTTGGTACATTTTTATTGCTCCTGTCTCTTTTGTTGCTCGTCTGGAAAACATTTCTGAAATCGTTAAGTCACGAAGAGGTTAAATTAAAATTTAAAAATTGATCTATCGTCATCTTAGATATGCCAATATATCTTTGTTTGCTAGTGAATGTCTCAAATAATCATGCTCTACTCTACTTTCATGTACCTAACGAATAGATGCGTAATGCAAAACCATGGCCGGATTAACAGGTGTAGAGGTCACCCCTTAATATTTAATAAAGGACCCTAACTATTTTTTGAGGATCCTATTTAGTTGGCTACTTTTTAGCTGGCTTATTCCATAATGACCAAGTGTCACAGTCTTTAGGAAAAATTAAGTGTTAAACCAACAATATTCTTATGGCTCATTGTTTTGTTAATGCTTATTAGCTGGTTGTTGCTTATTAGTAAATATTAAACAGTTTTTAAAAATATCAATTTAATCAAACTTGATGTAAAAATGATATCCGAATGATATCCGAACAGTATTTTGATAAATTATTTCAAATTTTATGTTGAACATTTCTATTGAACGCTTGCAGTGGATCCACTTTCTGCAAATAGTGTCCTTCCTTACTCTTCCCTTCTTTGTGGTGCGTTTAGTGCTGCTGCCGCTTCTGCACATTGTGAATAACATCGCCACCGAAAGAATAAATGCCATGACATGCAGCTTTCACGGATGGCTCAACAATTTTTTGCTCGTTTCTGGCATGATCATTTTTGTCGGCCTACTTGCTTTCCACTGGACACTGAGCTTCGGCAACAAGTCAAAATGGTTTGCAGTTGGATTGTTCAAATTTTTTTCAAAAAATTACAATTTCTCATTAGAAATGTATCTTTGACGTCATTCAACAGCAGCAGCAGCAGCAGCAACGTTGGCGGTGGTAACAACAGTGCCTACAGCGCACGTCAAAAGCCAGTACTGATCATACCGAAATGTCCTCAATGAAACCAAATGTTGTTTGAAATGAACACCTCTTGTGGTAATTGTTGACGAAATGTTTGAAATAAATTGAACATTCAAATTTTTTGTTAAATTTTAGTAAATTTAGTAATGAAACAAAAATTGCTCTAATTTTCTGTATATTTTTTGAATAGACAATTGTTTAATAAACAGCCAACCAGCAACAAATTCCCATTTTTACCGTTAACACAAAAACTTTTGATTTAATTTTATTTCAAATTATGTTTGGTTATTTTGTTAAATGTTTTGAAATGAAAACATTTTAATTTATGTGATCTGTTTAGAAATAACTGATGATTGATGGTTGCATTCCAACAATTGGTTGATGGCAGATCAACCTAACTAATCCAGTCCAGCACTTCACAAAAACATTCTTTCTCTCTCTCTCTTTCTCTCTTTTACAACACCGCACACACACACACACACACACACACACACACAACTCCACCAACACGCATAAGCAATTTCCACCAGGATGTTAGCACTGGTTTCTTAATGCACAACATATCTCTACATATTTTCATCAGCAGTCTTGCTATACACACACGTACATCTTACATACGATGATCAGTCTGCATGTATATATATTTATATAATTGTTGGAAGGAGACCAAATTTTATACAATTTATAAAGTTATATATATATACATATATATATATATATATATATATATATATATATATATAGGCAATAGATTAATAAATATTTTTTTCAACAAATATATATATATATATATATATATATATATATATATATATATATATGTTGGAAGGAGAACACAATTGATGCAATATTTGATAAAATCTACCGAATTTTTAGCTTTTGAAAGTTTACGGTTGAGCTTTTCAATATTTCTAACAGTAATTCGATAATAATAAGCACCAATGGTGGGTAAAATCAAAATAGGACCTATACGCTTCACTATGAACACCAACGATTTTCTTATTAATTTTAATAAATTGAATAACAATTATAAAATTACTGCTGTTAGAAACTTTCTAAAGCTAAAAATTCGGTAGATTTTATGAAATATATGTACGCACACACGCACACACACACACACACACATATTTATATATTTAAGTATATATATATATATATATATATATATATCAAGCAATGTGGATATAAGGGCATTTATATTTTATATTCAAATCTATGTAAGATAAATTGTATGAAAATTTGTACTGTGCTTGTTTATATGAGCGCAACGTGAAATTCTAAAGTTGCTCGTGTATACGCATGAACTAAATCAATTTCTGCAGATTAATTTGTGTAGGTTTAATAAATGGATATCTGTTGAACGAAATTTTTAAAGAAATCTTACCACCTATTGGTCCATTATGTTATTTTGAGTATCGCACATCAATTTTTTTCAAAAATATCTTTGTTAATAGTTTGAACAAATTCTGGAATGGTTAGTTTTTGTTTTTTGTTTTAAGTTTTTGATTATTAATTTGATTTCTTTGTTGTTTTATATCTATTAAACTTTTAGATACATTTTTATATTGCTTTATACGAGTTAAGAATATTAGCTAAGAGGAAAAGTGTTATAATTCATCATTATTCACCTATTTGCTCAATGTCTTTGTTTACAAAGTATAATAATCATAGAAATTATCGAAATCATAGAAAACATAATAATCATAGAAAACATAATAATCATAGAAAACATAATAATCATAGAAATATAATAGTCATAGAAAATATGATAATCATATTTCAGCGTTATGAAATCAATCGTTAATTCAAAATTAGCTATTTTTATCTTTCCAGAAAAGTAATTCGTTGAGAGAAATAAATTTTTTCACTTTATTAGAAATATTGGCTACAGTTTTTCTTAATGGCATAACAATTTATAACACTAACTAATCTCATTATTCTATTTCCAATCCAGTCATGCTGGAATTTATATGAACCATCACTCCGAATTCGGAGCACGTTTTATTGGCCGCTACTTTACGGTCCAGATTATGTTTTTCTCGCACGTTGCTTCACTGCTCATTAACATTATTGCGCTGGCTCGTCTGTTTTTAATTTTGCCTGTCTGAAGCTCCAAGACGTGCATATGATGTACATGAGATGAGGTTTTTGCGTACTTTGTGGATGAAAGGTTTGTGGTACAGAATATTCAATTGCAATTAAGTAAGGAACTGTTGTAGACAACTCTTGTTAAAGTAACACTTGAAAACATTCGTTACCAAGAAAATAATTTCAGGAAGAATATTTATGATGAATTTTTCAGAAAAAATTTCAATTTAAATTTGTACCATCAATAAAAGTTGAATCAAATTAATTGATTCAAAAATGAATTTTTGTAACATGTTAGAAACAGTCTACAGTTCAATGCGATCGATCGCGTGCGGCATTCAACGTTTGTGTGAGGCACACCTTTTGTTTTTAACGACACCTTTTGAAACTGATACCAAAATATCGAATTATATGATGGAACTAGTAAAGAAAAAGTAATGAAAAGATAGCGTTGCATGGATATATATGCAGGTAGCAAATGATCAAATAAAAAATTGTAGATGAAGATTTTGTTAGATTTGCAATATTTTATCTACACTCACGTTAGCAGATCTATGGAGAAATAAATGAATATATAAATGAATAAGCTTAAGAATACTCAATCTTTAATAATCAAATAAATGTTTGCAAGCAAAGCCTATAAACGAATAAACATTTTTTTAGGCGGCCTTAAAAAAGTTCTTAAAAGGAACGAAAAACAAAATAAAAACATCAAAATCTGCAAAAAAGTCTGAAGACGAATTAGATGAAAACGAAGAATTCCGGAAGCGAAAACAACAATGGCAGGTTCACATGCTTGATTTTTCTCATTATGTTTTGTTTGAGCATCTAGTTTTGCAGCTTCAAGTGGCTGTTTGAATTGTTTGTTAGTAAATTTAGTGCAAAAAAATTTGCGTTCGCTGTTGTTTGTTAATGTTACGACATATTTGATTCTTGCAATTTATTATTTTATTATCAAAAATTTTTGGTACATTTTTTTCAATTTTTGACGGCACACGGAGAACCTATGCACACATTTTTTAGATTGATGTAAATTTTCTCAATGATTTTTTTAATTATTTTGTAATAAGCATAGGGTTTGTTCATCAGAAGTACATAGATATCGATCTAAAATTTTAAATTGAATCACAGTAAAACACAAGTTCGGTCTATATACGCACATGGTAGCAATCGTATAAAATTTACCTTAAACATTGCCTTTGGGGGAGTAATTTTTATTCGAAAGAAATTTAAAAACGATTTTTGTACGTATAAATTCAATAAATTATTACATATTTTTTTTCTCCTTCTTTCTCGTGCCTTATCCTTTCAGGACATTGGCGACCATCGACCTCCACAAAACCCAATCTATAACACTTGTGGTAGTTGAAATGTGGTGATATTCAACAAAGACTTCACGAATGTTATTCGTTGTTGACCGCGATTTCTTCTTCCTGCAATCTTTCCAGTAGTTGTTAGATTTTCCATTCTTTCCTTCTGTATGGTGTGACCATAAAACTTTAACTGCCTCCATCGGATTATCTGTAGTAATTTTCTCTTTTCATAACCGGGCTGTTTTTATACATCCTCATTCGAAGTATGAGAGGTCCAACTAATTTTTATAATTCTTCTCAAAAACCACATATCAGCAGCGTTAATCTTTTTTTCCATTTTTTTAGAAATTGTCCAGGACTCAGAACCCTTAGTTAGCACCGGAAAAATGTAACATCCTAATAGTTTTAAAAACTGCCACTGCCTGTTTTTTATTATATTATATTTATATTATATTATATATATAAATTTATATTTTATGGTTTTATTATAAGTTTGCGTTTTTCTGTGTTTTTCATATTTTATTTGTGTGATTTCATTTAAAATTTTTCTCATCGTATTCAACGCCGGCGTTTGTTTGAATATTTTTCTTCCCGCTGATAGTTTGTTTGCTCATAAGTTCTTTCATTTTTTATATTATTTTTGTAATTTTTTATCTTTATGGTAGTTTTCCTACGCTCATCTTTTTCAACGTGTTCACTTCTCATTTGTACATTTTTTGTAGTAGCCTAAGTTATCATAATATACTCATCACCATTATAATTATGAGCATTTTTTGCTAAAATTTGTTTACAGAAATTATTTTGTTGTATGTTCATTTTCATGAGTTGCCAACACGCTGAAAACCATTTCAGATTGACCTGGAAGAGATGAGCGAATTTTTGGTAATAAAATCAACGGAGGAGCAAAAGCAGGACGGCGTGAGTGAGCTCATCGACACCGCCTTCATCGACGATCGCGATGGTCTGCCAGTTTTGAAGGTTGTTTCAATCATAAAGTCCGAGAGAAGTTTTAAACCAATGAAGCAAATTTCTCATTTGTGCATTTCATTAAGTTTTACTACTTACTACTCAAAAATGAAAACTTTTAATAATCTACATATGAAAAATTGTTTTCAATCAATCTCTGTAATTTTATAGACCCATTTAGTAATGCCCATCGACACACGGCATGTACTGTACGTAGGCATTCGTGCGAAATAACGCTTCATGCATCTAAGCATAATTTTGTGCAAAAATCTTTTCGTACTCAAATCAGTTCGGAATATCGGGCGAGGACACGCTCCAGCCGTTCAACCGTCGAGTCATCCTGTTACCATTGAAATTAAATTGAAATTATGACCATTAATTGCTAATAGCTTTGCAATAAATTATCTTGCAAAATATCTCAATACTTTTTAAGTAACAAAATTACAGTTAAATTTAATAATAAGTTTAAATTGTTTGTCCAATTATTTAATGATTTTTACAATCTTTTAAAAAGCCAATAGCGTTTAGTTTTCGATTGTTTGAATTTGACGTTCCAACTCCAGTTCATTTTACAATGTTTTCCACCAATTTTTTTGCCGGTTTTCCAATTTTCCGTTGCCTATGTTCTTACATCGATTCCTTTATTTTATCCTATTAAAAAACAACTTTATTTTTCAATAATTTACGAGACAGGCTGTTTTCGACCTGCATCATTTCCAGACGGATGATGTGACAGTTGAGATTGAGAACGATCAGTTGTTGTTAGTGGCTCAGTGCAACGATGACAGCAGAGAATGTTCGTTCTTCAGGAAAACTATGATCAGAAGGTTTTCGTTCACAAACTAGTTTTATTTCAATCAAACAAAAAAACATTTTGCAAAATGTCTAAAAAAAAATAATTTTATTATTAAACTTTCCAAATACATTCTTTTAAACTTGATTGCTATAAATTAACCTGCTTTTACTCATGTGAAATCCTAAGCTTCAAGTTAAAGCTTCGATAAAAACAGCTATCGCTTAAAAATCAAAAAGTTAAAAACATATACTAATTAAAAAGTTTATTCAGTTTCGTTTCGAATGTAAAAAAAATTATAATAAATGAAAAAAAAACATGAAATTGACATTGGAATTGACAAAATAAATGTGTATCATGCTTCAAAAATAAATGTCAATTTAAGCGAAAACTTATGTTTTAATGACTATTTGTATTTCATCGTATATTCATCTTAGGATCGTTCATTTTCATACAACTTTTTTGTGGCTTGAAGACAAATTTGACGTGATCAAACATTAATTTTGCTGTTAGTGAAAAAAGTAAAACCTAGTGACGAATTCATTTTTATGGGATCGATAAAAATGCTTTTAGGCATTTAACGCTTATTTGCCGAAAGTGTTTGACGCTGGGTGCAACCTACTGCAAACATTTAAACGTGTCACTAGCGTGTTTATCACCAAGCACGAAAAATGGACAAAAATCAAATTTTTAAATTTTTTTTAACTGCAACTGTATGCTACAACTGATCCATCATCTGTTTCACGTGCCTCAAAGCTTATATCAAATAAACAGTTGCAATATATTATTTCCAGTTATTATTTTTTTTTCTGAAAATTAACGAAATTTAAAAAAAAAATATGCACATTTTTAAATTTTTTGAATCTGGAAAACATGAACCAATTGTAAAACACGGACGTTAATGTTTAATCGGATTAAAAACTGTAAGTGAACATTAAAATTGGTGTATTGATGCTAAGTTTATGCTATAATTATTTTGAGCTTACGAATTTGTATTTAATTTTATTTCACTATTTTTGTAATTTTGCTCATTACTGTTCTAAATTGAGTGATTGTTGGCGGGAGATTTTGTGGATTACGTCATAAAATCGTTCTCCGCTTGATGCAAACAACTTAGTGCGACTCATCCTTTAAAAATTCATTATAAGTATATATCCGATGAATTTTATATTAATATGTTTTATGTCCCCTAGTCTTTTTCCATTTATAACGTGAAATATAAAATCTATTTCCGTTAGTATGCTATAGGTACAATCAATAAAGACTAAATGTGCATTTAGTCTTTATTGATTGCAAGTTTTTAAATGCTTTAAAATCCATCCATGCAAGCTTTAAAATGATTAAATGGTATTAAATAACAATCATGGATATTAAAAATACATTCAAAAGTGTGTTTTTGATAAAAAAAAAAGTCTACATCAACACGTGTCAACAGTTGTTTTCAATGCGTGTTCATTCCAACATTAACCGAGTTATTCGCTTGCTTGTGTTGACAGTTTTAGGATTGACATATTCTCGCAAAAATTATAAAGATTTATGCGAAGTTGATTAAAATGTAAAACATTTTCAGATTGGATTTGCCGAAATATGTAGAAACTCGTCAGCTGAAATGTTACTTGTCACCAACAAACATTTTAACATTGGAAATGCCGTTTCATCTGCCAGCCCAGAAGAAACCGAGCGGGCCGGGTATCGTTCCCATTGAATACGACTCTTTAGGGAGGCGAAAAATAAAATTGAGGGTCCCTATAGGTAAATTTAATTAGTATTTTTTCTAGTTACATCTGAATTGTTCTGAATCTCGTCAACAGGTAAAGAGTTTGTGTCAGATGAGGTTGAAGTTAATATGACGGATGGTCAACATCTGACAATAAAAGCCTGCTACAACGAGGAAGTTGGTCACTACGGCAGTGAGATAACCAGGCGATGCATCGACAAAACATTCAAACTGCCTGACAAGTTGATCGGCAAGGTACACCATTCATATATATTTATTATAGCTTTTATTCTTACGTGGAAGTTTTTTTTTAAACCGGATTGCATGTATGTACAAATATAAAAGAAGAATGCATTGCACGTGTGCGTGTATATACATTCATATCATGTTCTATCGTGTTTATCTATCTGGAAAGCTAGTATGGTTAGCAGTATGAGTAATGATATTATTGTTAGATACGCTATTGTTATAACACTTTTCCTAATTCTAATTATCGTTAAATCGTGATTTTTATACCATCAAAAGAGTAAATATGCTTGAATCAATAACAATAATAAAGGATAGATTCTAATGAACAAATGAATGCTTCGTTTAAAGCGTTCCTAATACACCTGCTCTGCCGTATACAAATGTCCTTTTCAAGCACCATTCTAAACATGGGACTTCGTTGCGATCGATTTTTGCACCACTTAGTGGTCTCTGCATTATTGACTGATCAAACGCATCTACATGTTGTTATTGATTTGTAAAATGTCTTTAGACAATGTAGAGTCTGCATGCCACAGTGTAGTGCCTACAACGCTTTGTCTCGAAGCCATTGATTCATTATGCGTATGCGTGTCTGTGTGGTGCGTCCCATCCCACGCTATTGATTCATAATGCGCATGTATCTAATGTATCTAATAGATGCGTTCCCACATTATTGATTCTTTACATGTTTCAATGTGCGCCGTCCCCTAGTAGCGTCTGTGTTTCTTCATAGACAGAAATCAAAGTGAAAGATTGTAATGAATTATCAGCAAGCCACTATTTAATTTTAAATGGTTAGTTTGAGAACGTTTTAGAATCGTCATTCATATAGAAAAATAATTTAAATTCTTTTGCAAAAATTTGTTCTCTTGAGATTTGACATTCTCACATTTTTGATTTAAATAAGAGCTAATATCAGACCAATATCAGACCAATATCAGACCAAAATTAAATTTTTTTTAGTTATTCATGAGAATAATTAGTTATAAATAAAATATTAGCTTCATCAAAATAGCTACTTTTTCTTCCTGGACCTTTCCTTAGGCATTTCACACCTTCGCTACGCTAATAACTCTGTAGCTGGCCACTGCTTTTAGGGCCAAAAAATCACAAATTACATTTTGCTTTATACGTTATTTATTATAACACAAATTTCAAATGTAGTGAGTTGTGATTTGACTGGCTGATCCATTTGCGCATTGGCTACGTTTTGAATATAGACACACACACAAACATACATACATACACACATGCATACAAAATTTGAAAACTGAACCAGGTTGAGGCAGTGGATTATTATCTGGCAGCAGACGGTACGTTGAACATCGAGATATATTTAAAGAAGGAACAGTCGTACAAGTGTCAAATCTCAAGAGAAGAAATCATCACCGACGTGAAAGATGATTCTATAAGTGCTGCGGAATCTGAACTCGAAGAATCTCTTGATTGACTGATTGATTGATTGCTGTTGTTTGGTTATTATTTGTAAATTTAAAACGTTCAGTTAAACCATATGAATTTTAGTTTTCTAAATATAGATGTATAGATTTTAAAATTTTATGTATTTAAATACGTATATTTTAAAACGATTTTTAACATCGCAATTTCAAATTTTACCAAATAGTTTCCCATCCTAACAGTTTAAAATTTTTCAATTTTATGTGATTTCCTGGCAAAAAATATTTTAAAATATAAATTTTGCATCATGCTGAGATTTTTTAATTAGACACCTTTGCTAAATTGTAACAAAAACAAAAAATAATAATAAATGCGAATGACTGCAAAGTTGATGTGGAAAAAGGAAAGAGATTTGATCAGTCGTGGATTGGCAGTTTCACTTTAGGTATCAAAATGTTTATTTTTACTTGTTAACAAAACTCATTTGTTTCAACAAAATTTTTGAACACAGTTTAAAAGGAATCGGCAAATTGCCACTATATAAACAACCAACAAAATTTATGAAGAATCTCTTTGATTAAAATCAGCATTCATATTTTATTACATATTTTATTACTGTGTGCCGATTTTACAAAGAGATCCCTGGCTATTTTATTTCATACCTCGTATGTGGTGCGCCGTATAATATGATTGTGTGTTGTTCATTCCTCTGAACCTAGTAACCTTTGTGTGAACTTTTCAAATGGGAAGGTCTCAACAATTTATTCAGAAGTAGTCAAAAAATTAAAATAAAGTGTTTAAAAGAAAAAATTTTAAATATGAAATGCAGACTAAGCGTGCGAATAAGTAACAGAAAATAAGTACAACGGTGCAACAGACTACTGTGGACAAGAATAAGCAATATTTTTAAAAAATTAAAAATTTTTAAACATAATATTGTCAACAGAAATGATGGAAGAATAATCAAGATCATGTAAAAGTATAAATTTCTTCCATTTGCTACCAAAAAATGCATTTATCAGTGCCCAAAATTTAAAAGTCTTCCATATTATACGGAAATCAATGCAATATATTTAAAATTAATCACGTTTTTCAAACCAAGCTCTCTATTAAGCGGTTATCAGTACCCTCCCGGGTGACGTCATCGAGTTTGTCTACCCGTTTTGTATGGCCTAGTCTTCACGGTTAGACTGTAAATATTATATATATATATATATATATATATATTTATTTATTTATTTATTTATATAGAAAAAGAAAGAGAGACTGAGATCTTTTGAGTGAATATTCAACATAGAATAACGATAAAGTAAATGAGCTCAGAGCAAAAGTCCTTATGCCCTTATATTCATAGTAATATCACATCACTTAATCAACAATCACATTTGTGATTGTAAACAAAATCATTATCATCTTTCATAAAAGAATCCAAGCCTAATTTGAGTGGAATCACACTATCAGCATTTACCACATCATTCAGCAGGTTGATCCACTGTGGCACTTTCCTGGTGGGGAAATAATTCTTTGAAAACATGTAAGGAAAACAAAAAAGATTTCTTTAATATACCAAAGTCAGTGTCAGATTGATATTGTTATTAAATTATCAAGCATTCTTCATACGGAAACCCGTATGCTCTCAAGTAAATGAAAAGTTAAATTGAATAAAAGTGGTCTAAAAGAACTTGACTCTGGAAACATCAAAAAGATGGAGTTCAAAAAACTCAACGGTCCTTGAAAGGAGGAAAAAATAAATGAATGGTTGAAAAGTTGTCGTTAACTTTACACTTATAAGGTTACTATTATCCAAATTTTGAATTAGCTACTCGTCACGTTTAAGCAGCATTTTCGTTCCTAAATTTTTTGAATCTTAGCTTCAAAATACCTCATTGAAAACAATATAGCAAAAATGACACACAAGTCTAAAACGTACATTTTCATTTCCATTTTAAGAACATCATTTTTCCTTTTTTGGTTTACAATTTTCCACTCTTTGTGAAAAACTGCAACTCAAACTCTTTAAATGAGTTAAATGGTGAAAAATTATGATGCAAAAAATTTAAGTGGCAATAATTTCAACAGATGGTTATGAATAAAGTTTGTGCTTTTCCTATTTGTTCATGGCCTTATCATCAGCAATCGTATTTTATATTCACACTTGTAGAAAGAGGTGCTGATGCAGTCAAAATCTCTAATAAATTGTGATTAGTCGTCAAACTTGATCGAAATTTTTTATGACAACATTTTGCAACACTCAAGAAAAACGTTTTTAATTTTCAGTTTAATTAGATTTTTGTTTAAATATAAATTATTTATTAAATGAAATAAACATTTTCTTTCTGCAATTTTTATTAAATATATTCAGTCATATTTTTTTTAATACGTAAACTTCAAAGCCATAAATTTAAATTTAATAAAATTTAATTTAAAATTTAATTTAAAATTTAATAAAATTTAATTAAATTTAATAAAATTCAGTCATATTTTTTTTAATACGTAAACTTCAAAGCCATAAATTTAAAAATCAGTTTGAAGAAATAAAATTTTTGAGGATAATGCAAACTGAAATAATCTTAAAGAGATCATTGAACGCTATAAAGTGCAGTTCAATACACGCTCGTCTTTCTTCGTAATGCATTTGTTAAAACGTTTATTTCCTTACTTTTTGACGACGTGTTTCGTACATTAGATATTGAACTATGGTGTTATTTTGATGTTATAATAGAAAATTTTTTTGATGAGTTCGATTCTTTTGTAAACTATTTATTATATTACAATTTATTAAAACTTTTTTAGAGAATGAGAAAAAATTAAAAATTCACAATATTAGAATCCATTTTAATAGTTTTCATTTGCGAGATACTAACATTTTAATAAAAAAAAAATCTCTAAAGAAGCATGGGAGATGGCATTGCAGAAAGCAGCTGGAGACTACTGCAGTTGCAGTTGCTGTAGACTGAGCATTGTGTGCGAGAAGGTAGATGCAGGTAGTACAGGTGAGTGTTCGTGTCGGTGCCATCGTGACAGGTAAGCATCGTTCGCATTAATATAACCGACTGTAACATGCCATGGTTAGCATATAATTTCGCCAGAACTAACGTAGATAACATAATTTTTATCAAATGTGAAAGTTTGTGTTTTTTCATAGGCTATTTTTTATTTATTTTAATAGTACATATTTGGTAATTGTTGGTCCTTCATTCATTGACCTACCTACCGATCCACCTTCAGAAAAACAACAAGTGACAGTGAGAGTTTAATTTTTTTTACTTTAAAATAATTTAAATTTAAAATAAAAATTTGTGCTTCATTTTTAACATTTTTGTTATTTCTATTCTTTATTTTTGAATTTCAATTTGTAAATTAGAATCAATTAAAATTAATCTTTGGAAAATGAATTAAAAATTTAGCAGCCTCATTAGTTATGCGGTAATAAGTTTAGGAGTAGAATCACTATTTTGTGTAAAATTTTTTTACAATTACTATTCAATTCCAAAAACGTAATAATTCGAAATATAATAAAAAGATGAGCATAAATGTACATCAAAGAGAAACCACAGACATGTTTGAACATGACGTAGCGAGGCAGGCATTGATTTGCGCCTAGTTACATTCAGTTCCGAGTGTGCTGTCTGTGCTAATTTGCCAGCTGAATCGATACATGACAAATATGTCATGAAGAGCTATGCGAAACTTTGTTTCATCTTGCGAATTTTTATTTCACATCATAAGGACATTTTAAAAAGTTTTAAAGCCACTCTTACAAATTATTTGAGAAGTAATTAAACGTATATGGAATTAAATTTATATAAATAAATATATAGCAACACAATAAATTATATAAAAATTATATAGAAAAACGGTCGTGCGAACATTTTAATAAATCTAATGCCTGAAAAGACAAAACTGCATTGCATCGCATTAGCAGATTAGGTAACAAACCAGTCAAAATAATCAGTCAACCAATCAACCAGCCAACCGACCAACCAACGAATCAACCAACCGACCGACTAACCCTAACCAATCAACCGGCCAACCAACGAATCAACCAGCCAACCGACTAACCAACCAATCAACCAAAGTATCGATGGTACGACTGAACACGACATCATATTGAACTGTTCATTGTCACCTTCAATGGGCTCCAGTGTAGAAAATAGATCATTCATTAACGACGATAATGCAATCACGCAACTACATATACACATTATTGATTGGGCTTTTGTCCCATTCAAGCCAAAAGTAATATATGTACATAAAGATCATACGTGTTCATACGTGTTACACACACACACACACACACACACATATATATATATATATATATATATATATATATATAAAGGGTTACGCTTATAAACATATAGACGTTTAATATAAATAATAAGTTAAAATAATGTAATAAAAATAGACGTACATACTTTTTTATGTTTTATGCATATACAGAATTTTCAAACAGTAGCATGAAATGTAACCAATATAGTTATGTTTATTAACCATTTATATAAATAAAATTAACCTTTGGAAAACTTTCGTATTCGTAAGATTGAAAAAATCGTTTTCGACAAATGTTCTATAATTAAATATTCGTAGATTATAGCCTAGTGCATAGCCTATAAAGGTTATTTAGTGAAATGTCATGTCATGTTAGTTTATATGATCAAAAGATCAGTCACCCATCGTATACAATGTTTTTCTATGCTATAGAATTATTCTGAATCATTAAAAATTTTCTTTTTGAAATAAATAAGATGTTGTTCTATTATCGACTTGATTTATAATTATAAAATAATAATAAGATCTGTCGGAGGAGGATGGTTTGTTAACTTTTTCCCAAAAATAAGTCCCATTTTTCATAAACATAATTTTTTTCAATTTATTCTTCTTCCAACATTCCTATATGGGATGAATAATTTCTATTGGAAATAATAAGCATAAATGAAATGATTCTGCAGTAAAGAATGAATTTTTAGTAATTCTTAGACATAAATAATTTTTTTTTGACGAATATTTAATTAATAGTTTAATTTAATTAAATACCAAAATTTTATTGCATTTCAACCAGCGTTTCTTATTTTTACAATATTTAAAACTGTCATCCTTACTAAATTTGTAAACAAACAAAAAATTATCGCTACACACACACACACCACATATACACACACACACACACACACACACACACACACACACACACACACACACACACACACTGATATATATAATTTCTAATTCTAACATCTTAAAAATTTTATATAATGAAACATTTTTCTAATTTTCAAAAATTTAGTCTATTAAAGATTTCTAATAGTAGGCTAAATACATTATCGTAATATACATGTAGGCCTACATATGTACAACTGTACAGTGTACACACAACTCACTCACTCTTACACCCACACACACACACGCACGCACACACATACACTAAGGGAATTAATACTGTCAAGTTTACATTTTTGAGGAGAAAAAAGAAATTATTTGATAAACAATATTTGCATGACACGCATGGTTGAGGAGCTTATCCAAAGTGGTTTAGAGATTTCATTATGTGTGATTTGGATTTTCGTTCATTTTTTTGTGTGGTTTGGTTTTCATTCTTTTTTCTGTCTTTAATTTTATGTTTAGTTTCCATTCCACCTGATTTAAAAAGTTCTTTTTTGAAGATTACACGTAAAAATTAATTTTAAATTATTTATTTTAATATATAATATTTCGCTTTTTCCAAACTTCGGAAAAATATCACAAATATTTTTTATAAATTTACATTTTATTAACAAGAACTTTAAATGTGAATTACCAATGATAATTTTCAAATATTCATCATTCTTATTATTAAACAGAAATATTGATCAATTGGTTCAACAATGCAATTTTACAGACTGTAAAAACGCAAGCAAGAGATTTGTTAAGAGATTTATTTTTAATAATTTTGGGTAAATGTTACGTTGTATAATATTCGCTTTTTTGATTATAAATTGAATAATTTTGAATTGAATTGAATCACACAGGACGCACCTGCATCTGTCAGACACTTACAGCATCCAGTCAAACAAACAAACATTTTAATTCGTTTGTGTGCATTTTTGTGTTTCAGCTTCTCTGTTACTATAGTTGAACGCAGAAATGTACATAAAGGTCTTAATAAAGATAAAGTCCAACGATGACAAGACTGAGATAAACTGTTTTTGCTTTGTCGAATTTTATCATATGAAATGTTTGATTTTCTTAACTTTTTATTGAAGTGCAATTGCTATGTTCATCACCTATCTAGAAGTAAAGTCGGCTTAGGTTCTGCATTCATGTATCCGAAGTCTTCTTTATTTTTAGTTTGGCGATCGATCAATAATACACTTTAACTACTTTGTTTGTGAATGGTTTATATTTTGAATTATTTGTTTTTTTTAAATAATAAAATAAATATTTTATAAGTATATTAGATTTAAAAATTTTCCGTTACTGCCAAACGTTTAAATCATGCCTGGCTTACATGGGAAAGCGTTTTTTGATGATCTTGTCTTAACAATACACCTGATTCGAAGCTAAAGAAAACCAGCTGAAACGATCAACCGTTTCGTGATATCAACTTTTTTATTTGATTTTTCTAATAAAATTATTTAAACATTTAAATTTGTTTCTTTTCATAATTTACTTGCAACCAATTTAGAAAATATCAGCTGAACATAGCACGATATTAGAACATAGCAGACCTTGGTCAGCTGATATCCAACTATTCGCAAGTTATTATATATTTATATTATTTCATGGTGTTTGCGATAATCTGCTTAGCTCATCAGATAATGAGTGTGGTGGCCATGTCTGGCTTCGCAGTTATTGTGTGATGACCTGGCTCGAATATAGCCGGGCAAAAAAAAAGTTAAAAAAAAAGTGTTACATTCTTCCAAAATCAACAACACACAATAATATAAACGACGGGTATTCTTTTGTCATATTCAAACCCGATAACAGCATAAAAAGATCAGGTGACCTCAACCGCAATACCACTATGCCTATGCCATCAAGCCGCCCAGCACATGTTGTAATGTGTTAATGCGTTGCGTGATAAGGTACTTTGCGCATACAAGAAACTTGGAATTTATTTCGAAGGAGGTGGATGTACAGCTTTTGTAGCATGGAAGTTTGGTTGGCCATAAATTGTGATGTGAAGGTGGATGTTTAGGCAAATAGTTGCACTTTAGGTCCATATCAAACGATAAAAAATGTAGCTTTTATATTAATGGATATTATATGGCCATTCCTGAGTGATAGGATACGCAAAACTCAATTTAATTAAGCAAAATTTTAGAAAATAAGAACTGCTTTCATCATTGAATAAAAATTGAACTACGGATTAATCAATATATTATTCTATAAAAAACGATTTAAATAACAAAAATGTTACCTATTACCTATCATTCTGGATATGCCCTGTCAGTGTTCCTCTATAAAAAAAGTGATTCAAATAACAAAAATGTTACCTATTACCTATCATTCTGGATATGTCCTGTCAGTGTGCCGCTTGCCTCTTGGTTTCAACTACATATTTATAAAGTAGCCTAAGCGATAATTATGAACCAAACCAATTGAATGTCTTGTAATATTTTTATTTTACTAATATTTTTACTAATATTTTCAGGAATATGTCCGTTTAAACACGACGATCACAAATCAGCATGGCTATACGAGACCAAAAAGAAGAAATTAAATGCTATACACGTGATTCAAAGTGTATGATAATTTTTACGAATAAAAGTAAAATATATTTGGCTGTCCATACTGTTTTGCACATTAAATTGTTTATGCTTGGTTTATTCTATATATATATATATAGTTGTTACCTTCTTTGTCGACGTTTTAAAAATTAGTTGGGATCGTTAAAATATTGAAAGTTCGTAAGTTTTATTTTGTCGATATCGGTAGTTAATTCGTTGTCGCCGTTTGGTATATTTTTAATTTTTATTTTACCTAAAAGTTTGTTTCTGTCGCCTAATTTGTGAAAAATGGGAAAAGGTTTCAACAATTATATGACCAAAAAGTTCTTCCATCCTGGGAATAAGGAAAATTTAAAAAGGGTTAAAAAAATTTTCTTGTCCATTAATTATTTTAATAATTAATTTTATTTGAATTTTGTTTTAGTAATGATTAATTTTTGTCACTTCAGTGAAAACTAAAAAGTAACTGATGTTATAGCAGATTTAAAAAAATTAAATTTTACAGATTGGGTTAGAATTCGGCCAGGATTAGTGCTTAGGACCTTATGTCTAATGACCTATGATTATTAATTATTTTTATCAGTACACTGTACACCGTGATCAAATTAATTGCTTACCATCAATATGGAACAGTTTGCCACTCATCATCCATCAATAATTATAATTATCAATAGAAATGTTTAAGAAGCGATTGAAACAGTATTTGCTTGAACAGACCATGGCTGGTCGTACTGACATTTGTTTATCCGGGCACCTCTGGCGCAATGCATAGCATTTATCGCCTCTTCCATTGTTTCAAACTCACCTTGCAATTTATTTTACTTTCATCATCTTAATATTAATTCAATGCAGATTTAAGTTTATAAAAATTAAAACCACACTACCAATCACCTAAATGGCAAAGGCAACAAATTTTTCTAGCCAGCAAAGAAATTATAACAATTTTATTTAAATATCAGATTTAAAAATCTGATATTTTCTAATAAATTCTAATATAATATATTATATTAGATTCTAATATATTCTCATATATTTTAATATATTCTAATAAAAATCAGATTTTAAAATCAGATAACTAACCTTTGGATCCTATCATAACAAGCCTAATCCTAATTAGATGGGTGGAGTAATGTAATTAAATGTAATAATTATTTTGTATTCAAGATACTTACCAAAGGGAGTGTTGTTTTATTCAGATTTAAATTAAGGTTTCAGTTATTATAAAATAAACAAGTGGAAGTTCACTTACCATGTTTGCATCTTTACAGTTATCTCATCTGAGAGGTACTCCACAAACCTGCATCCAAAAAAATTGATGATAATTATTTTTTGTAAAAAATCAATTATTGAGTTCTTAATCACATTTTCATTCAATATGAACATTTAAGTTGAAGCAAAAAATGTTAATTTTCATAAAAAATTAAATTATATTTTTTAAAAATTAATGAAATAATTTAAATTTTTTATATTGCAATTGATTATGCACAGGTGTGGATGGCTGAGCAAAAAGCAGACTTTGAAAAAAAGAAGCAGGAGGAACTTTTGACGCAATACCAGAGGGAGCAGGACATGTATGCCAACAGGTTATTGTTATGAACAATGTTATGTTCAACCTACTTGCTCCAACATTTTAAATTAAAATTATTGTAGTTATATGTTGGATATTTTCAAATGAATTTCAATAATGACTACAAATAATTCTATATTTCAAATTGTGCTATTTTTTCAGAGCCCTCCTTGGAGATGAGAAGGCAAAAGTTGGTTTAAGTTTCATGTATGATCCTCCGCCTGGCGCCAGAAAAGGTATTCTACTTTTTTTTATCTCATTCATTGCTTATTGAAATTTGAATCAATATTTTATGAATTTGATTAGTAGAGTATTTTTTTACCTCATTGTTTATTGAAATTTGAATCAGTTTTTTTGTGAGTTTAGTTAGTAAGTTGGATAGTTAAATACATTTATAACATTTAATTGGTATGATGTTATGGCAATTTTAAGTTAATCTTGGTTGTTAGGCATTGTCATACTTATGATATAAACCTGCTATTATTGTATTCAATTATTTAATTAATCAGTTAATTTTTTTCATTTTCCATGTTTACTCCTGAAGAAAAAGAAGTGAGACAAATTTTTTTTTTGTATCATTCATTCTATCTCAATTAGGTAATTAACTTTGAATCAACCAATTAAGCAATTTACACTTGCACAACATGACCGAATAGTCTATTTTACTTTGTTATTTAATTCCCATAAGAAAGAGGACGATGAACCAGAGTACAAATTTGAATGGCAACGAAAATACAATGCCCCGCGAGAAGAATACCTGAAAGGCAACGAGGCCATCATGGACCAGCCATTTGGCATTGAAGTAAGGAACGTAAGATGTATCAAGTGCCACAAGTGGGGACATGTCAACACGGACAGGGAGTGCCCTTTGTTTTCTGTTAACTGCACGATGGAACCACCCCAACGTACGTTTTGCATTCTTGTTTTTTGATTTATTTTCTAGTTTACTTATGGTTAATTTGTTTAATTTAAATGTTTGTTTGATCAGTTTATCCAGTTCAATTTATTTTCTCTTTTATATTTTTAATTTTACATGTTTTTGTCATTTGATTACTAATGCTGTGTGTTTTTGTATCTCTGTTTAACATGTTCATTGTTCATTTGATTAATTTATTGTGCCTAGCATTTTTACATTTATAATGTAATTTATATGAATAATAATTTAACTCAAGTTAGATTATTTGTAAATACAGCTTGTATATCAAAGTTGGAAACCAAAAAGAAAACAGAAGTTAAAAAGGTCAGTTAGCATTAGCATTTGAATTTACTTAATGAGAATAATTTTCATAAAGAGGTAACTTCTTGTTAAAAGGTCTCAGAGGAAACTGCAGATGAAGATCCAGAGGTTGCGTTCTTTAAGAGCCTCACATCCAAACAAAAGAAAAAATTAATCAAGTAATCATTAAACAGCTTTAAACAAAATTTATCAACCAGTGTTTAAACGAAATTTATTGAGTCATTATAAGATGTTTGCAATTTAAAATATTCTAATATAAGTTTTGATTTATAATATCATGCAGAATATTCAGAAATGTTGTAATGATATAGATGTTGCATATCAGTCAGTTTTTGGACATAGAGCCCTTATTCTTGTATCATATAATTATTAATTAATTATAATTAATCATATGACTATTAATAGACATAAAAGTAAACTTTTTTAATGGTTAAAATCACAAATAGTTATCTGTGAAATCTTATTATATTAAGTGAAACAATGTGGAAATATTATTTTGAGATGACCTGTCCTAAATTTTGACCTATTGCTCCGATCTGTTTATTATTCCTTGACTTTGCTAAACATTGGCACGTTTCTCCTCTTTATGCCTTTAATTACGTTGACGCACATTCATCTATCCAATTTTTTAATAATCTTAGTAATATTAAAATACATTAAGTTTTGTTAAGTGGGAATGAATGACATTCAGGTTTTGGCATGCCGAAAAATTTGCAAATATAGACTAACTTTTACCATTATGGATTAAAAGGTGTAACTCAGTGATTTATGGGCTGAGGATTATTTAAATATGTTGAAATTATTCTACGATAAACTTACTATTGAATATAAATTTTCTCAGAAAATTGGAAAAGATTTCGAAAGAAAAGTCTAAAGGTAATTCAATATACATTTTTTAACCTCATTTTACAGTGTCTTTTTAGTTAACTTCGCTTAATACCCTTATGCCACTTCGCACTGATGTAGTTTGTCTCCATATTACGTTGTGTGTCTCCACGTTATTCTGTTATATGATTTGATTGGTGTCATTCTTTGAAATATGTAAATTTTTTACTAATGATTTTTCAGTAGTATTGAGCAACAATAGATTTCTTTACAATATTTATGCCAATAAGTTTTTAGCCACTGCAAGCATTTATAGAATATTCTATCATTGATCCTGAAATGTATGCAAGCATTGAGGGACACACTAATTGAAATGAAGCATATAACCTGGAAGTGTTTGCGTCATTATATTCTATTTGTTACTTCTCTCCAAAGACTGTAGCGTCATTGCTGTTCTTGCTTCCAGCAAAGTTTATAATGTGAAGAACAGATATGTCTACAGATATGGTTTAAAATACCATTGTTTCAAGAAAGTGAACGTTATCTTAGTGAATCAATCATCAATGACAATTTTTTAGAAGCAGCTCTAAATTACAAATTTTATTAGTAAAAAAGTTATCTTGTTTTTATGCGCAATGAATTATCAACGTAAATAATAAATAAATAAATAATCAAACATTTTCCAATCACAGAACATAGACGGCACAAGGACTCGAGAAAAGCATCAAGGAAATGAATTTAGAACATTCATTTTATTGTAATTGTACATATAACTATTTTATAGAGTCTGTTTTATTTTTGAGGATCAATAAAATTTTGAATGTTATGTTAAACGTTTTTAACGCACTTGTTTAAAAATTTGAACTGTCATATAAGCATATAATAGCGTCGTTTCATTTCAGTCCCATAGCTTATTCTGTGCCAGTTCTCGTTCTGTCACTTTATTATGCGTCCGGTTAAATCTCAAATAATGAAATTTAAAGTAATTTTCCTTTTAAAACATTTTAACCGGATCGATGTACATGTAAGAGGGTGTAGATATAGTTAGGTGTCCATGTTGTCGAATGTTTAATTATTATTATTATTTTGACCGAGATTCACAATAATTTGAAAAGATCTCCCGTGTGCAGGATGATGACGCGCCCTATTAAGAAACTAATATTAAAACTTGATGAGTAACCTATCAAGAAACAAGAACAGTGCCTCCCTTCCCAATGTGTGAGTTTGCGTCCGGATGACGTTCTGAAAATCACAGGCAAAAATAGTGACGGCGGTACTTGTTCACACAAGTCAGCAACCGATTCCTGAGTGGTTGCTAGCGTTAGATTAATCAATATAAATACTTCATTTATCGAGAAATGTCACTAAATTTTTCAATTTTTTTCGGTATCATTATTCTAAGGTGGTTTTGTCGTTTGTCTTGTTCGTTAATGATAGTAGCTTTCAACGATGTGTTCAAAAGTTCAATACAAGATTAGATTCATATAACGCTTCATATGCGCTAACTTAGTTTGAAAATATAACAGTTAATGGTAATATCAACAACTAATTTTTTAGTTATTTAAGTAATAGTGTGTAAATAAAAGTAGACAAATATTTTTTATTACAACCAAAACTTTCAAGCTAGCTTCATCAAGCAAAAAGTGTCAGTTGGCATTTTCCCAATGTTGAAACATTTTTTCAATTTTAATTCAGCATTAAAACAATGACAGTTGGTTTAGAAAACTTTTTGGAAAAGATTTTATTATAAAATAAAAAATGCTAAAAATTCAGAGAAAAGCCAGAAGCATAATGGCGCGTGTTATATGAATAAAAAAAAGAAGAAAGCTGATAAAAAGAAACTATAGGACTCTATGGGACTATCGAACGATTCATTAAAAAGTGAATGGTGGCAAGTCATTTGAAAATTTAGAAGATCAAATAAATGAGAGAGTGCGGCCGATTTTAATTTGTAAATGGGCGGTCAGAGGTCTAGGATTCGTCTCGTAATATTTATTATGTAATTTTGTTAGCATTTACACTTTAAGAAACGATAATTTTTTTAATGTTTTTTCTATTGTGGGTTAAAATGAGAGGTCTGAAAACTGCATCGTTCTAGTAAGCCTGTGTACGACATTTGTGCTAAAAATTGTTGGTTTATGCGCGAAGCAACGCAACACGCTTACTCGGAGTAGGTAGGTACATCATATTTTTGCACAAACTGCACTAACCACATCACTGCATCATAAGCGAAAACGCTGTCGATAATTTCTAAATCATAAATGCATAGGCATCAAAATTGTACAGGCATTTTTAAAATTTATATAAAGATTCTTAGTAAGGTTTAGGTTTCAATAAAATTAAATCAACAGTAAGTTTTGCAACCGTTTCAAACATTCTCGTTGAAGAGGGACTAATGTAAAACACATACAAGACCAATACATGCCTAACTAAATAACATTTTGAGTGACGATCACGCATTCACGAAAAATTGCTGGTTAAAACCAGTTCCGAACGCACATGAGCTAACATGTCTACAAATTTGATATACATTTTTGTTAGGCGGCTATCACATTGAACGCACCTGCACTGTGGGCTCAGTTCAATATAAATCACCGCCACTCTGCGATGACCACTAAACTACGAGACGATTCACAATTGAAGACGTGTCTAGGTAGGTTATTTTGTACAAAATTGTTTTAATCTGCAATTTAAACTGTATGTGCAGTGTGCGCTACACACACACGTCCGCACGCACGCACACACACGTCCGCACGAACACATGCATATATATATATATATATATATATATATATGAATATATATATATATACATGAATACATATATATATACATATATATATATATATATATATATATATACAAGTATGTCAGTTACTATTTGAACCGGATTTGCAATTATTAGCGCCTGAAGATTATTTATTATTAAAAAGGAATTGAATCGTATGTTTGCAGCTACTCAGGGACATTCGATTGAAGTTAAATATTAAATCAATTAGAATTTTCAGTAATGATCCTTACCTATAACTAAATAATAAATACGTGTTTTAATAACTCCTCTTCAATGTTTTTGAACTGCAATATAAAATTGAAGACTGTAATGTTATAGTTGCCAAGCATCATGAGGTATGTTCAAACCACAGATGTAACGTTATTAGGATATCTAAATTATGAATTGCTAATCTTCACGATCGCAAAAGCTGGTAAATGATGAAACCTGAAACGTTAAGGCATCGTTTGCATCCATGTACGAGCGAGTTTCGACTGTGCAATATATACGCTGTCCACTGTACATAGAACTTTATATAAAAGCAAACCACGGAGTTAGGCAAGTTACTTTCTGTTTCGTATTTTTTATTCAAAATGTTGTTGTAAATTAAAACTTACTTTCCATTTTAAATATATTACTTAAATTATATTTGATCTGTCTAATTTTAAGAAAAATTTCAATCATTAAGTCCAAATGGCAAAAATTTGTTTGAAGCAAAAATAATGAACAAATCTTTAAAAAGAAACAGATTTTAATTTTTCTTTTCCAATAAAATGATTACTCTGAACCAAAGCATTATATTTCGTTTTGCAACCAAAGTGAACTACTCTGGTTTTAATGCACCAAACTTCTATTCAATGCAAATATTTTTCAAATAAAATTTGAGTTTATTATTGTAAATTATCAGATTAGCTGTTTTATAATGTCATTTTTTTGCTAAGTTTGACGGATAAACTGGATTAGAGGTTAATCCTTATTTCTTAACCATTTAGCGACTGATTTAACTTCACTTCTTTCTTTACTTCTTCGTTAATTTATTTCTTTGTTTCTTCAGTTTCACAATCAATTAACTTGTAAAGCCCCATTTCCGCGATGTTCAAAAGTGCTCCTTAGTGAATTTTTTAAACAGATGGGTCTGGAAAAGTTATTTGTTTAAATGTAGTTCAGAGCTGTCATCTTTTCTCTCTTCAAATCGCTGTCAAAATTTATTTTATTAAGAATTAAAATGGTAAATAAAAAATATTTTGATCGTTGCGATATTTTATCGTTTATTTAATATATAAATTTTATTTGGAGCATATATTATTTTAAAACAAACGTTGTTTGTTGCCCGATATGCGCAATTTGATGCAGTATTGTTCTCGATTGATACGGTTTAGCATTCATTAAATTTACTACGAAGTTTGGGCATACGTAAACAATTTCATATATCTGACTGACAAACAAAACTATGGATTATATTACTACTATTACTGCAGCTACTACTACCACAACCACCACCGCTACCACCATCGCTACCACCACTACCACTACTAACAAACCTAACCGTACTACATACATAATTACAATCAAGCACCATTATTTCACCTGCTAATAAAAACTGCCACTGTCTTAACTTTTTTCACGTTCTGCTACCCAATTGAGTTCAATAGCTGATCGTGAGTTCGACATTTAACTAGCGTAGTGTTAAACATACGTAAATTATGTCTAACAAGTAAGAATTGCAATACACACTTTGTGTAGCCTCTTGTCAAAAATTGATTTTTTGCTTCCTTGTTATTCATCAATTTCTAATTTGTGACCAAAAAATTTGTTTATTTATCTTTTGTCCCCAGATTTATTAGAATAATGTATATTAATTTATTATTACTTATTCGTATTGCAGTCGTTATCATCTTTAACTCATGCCCTTATTTTTTTCATTTGATGATTGTATTGACATTATATAAAATGTGAAAACATACACATGGTTGATAAGCTTATTGAGCGTTAGATAACGGTATAGACAAGAATTTAATATGAGCCGGTTAATTAAAAAGCATGACAACGATGTTAATTGAAAACGGCGTTCAGTCATTTTATTAGCATAGGCTTGCGATTATACCTTTCAATTATTTTGAAAAATTGGTTACAGATGCCATTGATTGTATAAATAGTGTTGGTCTGTGTCAGGAGATTTATATATTCCCATAAGTTTTACAAATTAAATTTTAATTTCGAATTTGTTTAACACAATTCAAGTTTATATTTAATGTTTTAAAAGTTTTAAAACTTATTTCAACAGAACGAACACAAATTTTTTACCATCCTACTGCTAACAACACCAAGTCAACTGATTGGATATTTCTTCAAAATGGGCAGACATATAATCGTGGTCATAAACCATTAAACTAGCGGAGGAGTTTTAATAATTGCATTCAATAACAACTTGTTTCGTTAAACTTCAAAACAAACAGGTAAAATACTTAGCAAAGTTTTTTACTCTTTTTTTTGTAAAATATTTCATAATAACAAAAATGCAAAATTTATCCATAGGAATGGAAACAAAAAATAATAATCATTTGTCTTTATCTGCATCAAACTTATCTAACAATGCTGAAAATGGTCGCCACAGATACGGTGATTATGGTATTGCTATAGAAAATAGTTTTGAACCGATCGCTCGTAATATTAGGACATTCGTGGCTGGCAAACACAAGCGAAGATTGGTTCAAAAATCGGGAGAGTGCAATGTGACCAGCTGTAATGTGACCAAGAGGAAACAAAAATATTTCTTTGATATATTCACAACGCTAATTGACATGAGGTGGCGTTTTCACACTCTATTATTTTTTGCCGCTTTTGTAACGACGTGGTGCGTCTTTGGTTTCGTTTGGTTTCTCATTGCAATTGCCCATAAAGATCATATCAGTCATGCTAACGAAACAAGTACGCCGTGCGTCACTAACGTTTACGACTATACGTCAGCTTTGTTATTCAGCATTGAAACTCAAACGACAATAGGCTATGGGTACAGGGTAATTCAAACTGAATGTCCGTTTGCAATTTTTGTTTTAATGATGCAGTCATGCATTGGTTTATTAATTCAATCTTTTATTACTGGCGTTATATTCTCAAAACTTTCACGACCTAAAGGTAGATCCCAAACTATTATGTTCAGCGAAAAAGCCGTTATCAGCAAAAGGGACAATGAATACAACCTACAATTTAGAGTTGGAGATATGCGCAAGTCTCATATTATAGGAACCTCTATACGAGCTGTCCTCGTAAAAAATAGATTGACCAGTGAAGGAGAATCGATTCCTTTATGTCAATTTCCGTTAGTCCTTGAAACGGAGATGAGCCCATCGGACAGCTTCGTTTTTTTAATTTGGCCCGTGACCGTTGTGCATAGAATAAATGAGAAAAGTCCACTGTGGACAATGTCATTAGAAAACTTGTTGCAGGAACATTTTGAAATTATTGTGCTACTCGAGGGGACCATAGAATCAACCGGCATGGCTACTCAAGTCAGAACTTCTTACATCCCAATAGAAATTATGTGGGGAGAAAGGCTGGTTCCCTTACTGACGTTTCAGTTACAAAATGGTCGCTACGAAATTGATTATAGTCAATTTCATAACACGTCGTCGATAGAAATGCCAGAGTGTAGCGCAAAAGAATATGCTGAACGAACGCAACAAAATCCTTCACACAGCGTCAATAAAGATTCCGATTACATAGCTAGTTTTACAGCTCCAGCCGTTCGACAACGATCACAGACACCTACCTCATTATCTCTACACCATTTTTTCCAACGAAAAAAAAATGGAATAAATAAATCAGATCCAAACAGCCGTTCTTACCCAGAACCCAAAAAAATATCGCGGAAACACAGTAAAAAACGTTCCCATAACGGAAATGTCTCGATTAATAAAGGATTTGATGCTAGTACTGACAGTCTAAAACATGTCGATTTGTCACCAAGTATAAGTTGATTTGCCATTATTTTTGCGATTGATAAAAATTTCTGCTCATAAAATATTATTTTAAATAATTGGCATTCAAATCATTTTTTAATTAAAACACTTAAATAAAATAATCAGCGAATATGATTTAGCCCCTTCAAATAATTCATTGTACTAAACTAAATGCTTAATTTTTTTATTAGCTCAAAAAATTATTAAAACTATTTAAAATGGGTTGTTAAATGTTTCTAAAATAGTTTTCGATAGAATTGAATTGTATGATACAATTGCAACAAATATAGACAAGCAGACGATCTCATTAACAACATATAGAAAATCGTGAAGTTTATTAAAATTGTGGTTAGCATTGATAATTATTAATGTGTTGTTAGTATGTCGAACTTTATTATCGCCCAACTCACTGCAAGCACTACCAATGCGCTGCACGTAACATGTCCTGCAGAATCCACTGCAGAAACAAACTGAAGATAGTGCTTTCCTAGAATAACTGCGCGGCTTCAGAAATGGTCATAATTGTAATAATCTGATCTCTGCCGTTTGAATTTTAAAAGAAAATTTTAAAGGAAGATCATTGCTTCTTTCTGACCTACATTAATTCAACTAAAGTAATTAAAGCTGAGTTAGCTGTGAAATGTTTTTTTGGTAAATTTGATCGATAGCCAAAAAGTTATTCATGGCAGAGAGAGATTATTGCATCATCTTCATTTTAATGGTGACCACTGTTAGAAGTGAACGATAGGGTATATTTAAAAGTTTTTTTAATGCAAATATACCTTTGGTCATCAATTAATTAAATTACGTTTTCAAATTTAGACTCAATGAGAAAAAAGAATCAATTTTCAAGATTGACGAGACAGCAAAGAAAAATTTACCGATGCAAAGGCACAAAAGCAAACTTTTAAACCTCTCCTAGCAACGATTAACTGATGCCTGTTTTAATCATGAAAACATACGCACATATACATACACGTTGAATGCAAGCGCTATTGTCGAATTGTAAATTTTTTGAGCAAGTTTTCACGCTTTCTTATTTTCCTCTTTTTTGCAGATGACCAAAATCTAGTGATTTAACAAAACAACAGAAGTACATTATGGGAAAAAGACAATTTTCAGCTGTGTGAAAATCACGGAAACGAGATTAACAAAAAGGGAAATAATTTCATCAACAACGCCAACAACTAAACGTTCGAACGTGGTCTGGCAAAAGTTAAAATAAAAAGCCTTATAAACATAATGTAACTTATCCAACCATATATTAACATAAATGAATGTACGGAGTGAATAACAACGTACGCTAACTACGTCCTCGAGATCTAATCTAAAAAATTTTATGCCAATGAACGTGTGGCCGCCATGCAATGACTTTCATTTAGGTAACGCTATGAAATCAATTGAGCGAAAAACGAAGTATGAATTATGCCACTTCATCTAAACATTGATCCATTTTTGCAAGGTTTCCTGCATCAGTAATGGACGTGACATCATTGCTGCTGCTCTTGCATCCATTAAAGTTTGATGGGAATGCGATAAAGCAACAGATTAAAAGGAGATCCGGAACAAAGTGACCGTTGTTCGCCGGCGAACTCATGCTGTCCTAAAGTACGTGCCTCTTTACTGCCCTTGGCAGGCGAATCTTGGCTCTTAATAATTTCAGCTTTTTTATTTTTTTCAGAATGCATCGTCATTATCGAAATATACGACATTAGACATTGGCCACATTACAAAGAATCCGCTCAATAACTTATTTTATGCTTTATATTAAGCTCATTTTCATAGCTTTACATTATTCTGATTATTTTCTTTTTTTTTATCATGCTACCAGTTTGTAAGTTGTATCTGTCAGTCTTAATCTGTAACCAAAAAAGGTATTTGAAATCAACAAGTTTTTCAAACAGTTCAGTTAGAATATTGATGAAAATAAATAATAATGCAAAATTTAAACAAAGACAGTTAATAAATAATGAAATCAACAAATCACTTATTAAGTAACAATTAAAAATCAAATTTTATAACAATGTTAGTTGGAAAAAAGATGTTATCGAATTAAATATACTTAAAAAATTAAAAATAAAAACACTAGATAAAAATATTGACTAGAATAAAAAATGCAGATGGAATTTATAAGATGTCACGCTAAAAAGATTCCATGTGCATCATAATGCTGCATTGGAAGGGGACATCAGTACCTACAACAAATATTATTTTATTTAGCTTCAAATCATTTAAAAAACAAATTGTCCACAAGCTTATGAAAATGTTCCAAACGTAACCATATAAACTTAGATGCATCATCAAGCAAATAAAGAATGACGACCTTATATATAAATTCTGTGTTTTATTTGTTTTGAATCTAATATTTTGCATTTTGTCGGATTACTCATTCATTCATTCATGCAAACAGTTTGATATCAGGTAAAAAAATCAAATAAGATATATTATACCTAAGTTGCCCTTCCCTTCTTTATTATTTTTCTTTTAATTAATTAATTCTCAGAGGTATCAATCAACAACACAAAGAAAGCGCACGAGAATAAGCGTAAATTGTTGTATGTGATAAGCGAGGTCGCATTGCATTTACAACAAGTTAATGTAACAACAATACCAAGCACCTTACACCATCTCACCGTCCAAATTATTATATTTGAAATTTATTAAAATGGTTGAAAATTTGTTTGATAAATGACATTAGTTCAGTCCGTGATGTGTGATGAAACCTGATGCAATAATATAATCACTTTTGTTATTTTTAATTTTACCATGATATTTTTGATCTCCAGACTTTCCAACTGCCACTCATCTTTAAGAGCCCAACAAACACTTCTACTCTAGATAGGTGTTATAATACTTTTCCAAGCTTAGAACTTTTTACATTTTCTGTAATCACCTAACTATATATATATTTGACTGGCAAACTTGCAACTTTATTAGTTTATATTATTTTATTGGTTTATTCCAACTTTCAACCTTTACTCTGAAACTCTTATTTTTTTTAAAATCCCGTTCTATTGCCTTAAAAACCTGCATAACAACACATCTCCTATTCACCTGAGATTGTTTGTTATAGGTTCAGAATCTGAATTCATGTGGTTACAAAAATTAAAATTTTGATGATCAAAATAAATATTTTGTTCACTCCTTAACCATTCATTTCCTTCATCTCGCAAAGCCTGCAGCATCCATCCTAATCCCGTCACATCACAGCTATATAAAAGTTTGATTATATTTATGTGAAATGTATTTAAATGAATAAAAAACTTACAAATACATTGATGAAGGAGGTTGTGCCACAGGTTCAGAATCTGAATTCATGTGGTTATAAGAATCAAAATTTTGATGATTGAAATAAATATTTTGCTGTTGAGCCAGTTGCATAGAGGCAAACATTTGTTGTTGACTGGCGTATTGTTGACTCCCCCATATATTTGGAAAACCTGGCAACATCGACACAGGCATCCCAATGGGAAATATTGACTGACCGAACTGTGAATTTGAGTTGTTATGAGAAATGTGAGGATGGTTGTCGGAATGAGCACCTTCTACATGCTGCACAGCTTGTTGAGGTTGTGCAGGCCGACGAGCTGCTGACTTAGCAGCTGCTTTATTTTTTGCCCTAATTTTTATTAAATCACGAGATCTCAAGCCAGTATCTTTCAGATATTGTTTTAGCTCTGAGTCATATCTCACCTTTGTATTTTTTGTTTTAGGTATTATGCTAAATGTTGAAAAATATATTTTGAAAAACGCTAAACAAAAACCTTGTCAACGGTGAAATCATCATTATGTCTTTGTTTGTCTTCGTTTGATAATTCTCTCCACATTCTTCCGATGGTTGCTCCAATTTCACACACACTCATCCCAGGGTTATCAGTTTTCACTTGTTGCCACATCTGAAACAATTAAAACTGTTTTTATATGCACTCATCCAAAGATTATCTCTTGAAAACGTTTTTTAAATTTTGATAATCACACATTAAAAAATAGAAGAAACCATGTGTAGTCCATAAACTGAAAAAAAAAATCAACAGTAAAATAGATGAATCTTTGCAGATTTGTAAGGATTAATAGTTGAAAAGATACAAAATATTTTCATGTAGAACAGACTCACACATTTGCTGAATCTCATATAAGGCGTCAGGGGCCTTTTAGGTGGAGGTGGTACATCAGGTTTCACATTATCTGATGAAAATGAACTGCGGTTTTGTACCAAGTTATTCAAGTCATTTGAAAATCTATGCGGTGACGACATGACGTTGGGGTTAAAATTTAAAAATGAATTATTATGCTGAAATTGTTGGTTGTTACTGATAGCGGGAAGAGCATTAGAAACATAATTAGTTGCTTCTTGATTGTTGTAATGATTAGCAACTGGATGCAGATTGTGAATTTGGCGCTCTTTGGGAGTTTGTAAATTCAAAGGAGACCCTTCTTGGGAATCATTATTAATTTTATCATGTTGATGATGAGAGTAACAGTTTTTCAGGTAGCGATGTTGTTGTTGTTGTTGCTGCTGAATAATCATTTGATATGCAGGTGTCATAACAAATGGAAAATAGTTGCCAGGGCCCATCATTATCTGTTGTTGATGCATGTATTGCATTTGAACAGCTGCAGCTGCTGCAGCTGAGGCATAGTTTGCATAATTTTCAGTCTCATTAAAATTAACCTCTTTATTTTGGGTTTGATTTACATATCTATCACTACTGCTTTCATTGTTAACATGTTGATTGATTTGGAGAGCTTCTGACATTTTGAAGTCAAAAATGAAATAATAAGATCATTAAGTTTTGTTGGAAATGGCAGCCATCATCACTTTAGTTCTAGATAAGGTATTGATTTTCGTTTGTTAAATATAATTATAATATAATATACCCAGGCCAGGCTTACGATTTTTTTAAACTTGAATTTATATTAAAAAAAATGAATAATCAATCGAATTAATAAATGATTTAAAAAAATAAAACGTTCAAAAACCTAAAAACTAAAAAATTACTTCAACAGTTCCGAATCCAATTAATTCTTAGTTTATAATTATCTACATATAATGGAAATTATATTATAAGTCTTGAGTAGGATGCAAACGCAGCAACGATACGATACGATGGATTGTTCAATGGATGTAACAAATCTTAAATATGCAACAAAGATGGTTCAAACTATTTCGGTCTTCTATGAAAGACCATTTTGGTTTGCTGTTCAGCCTGCAAACAGCATCATACACTTAGAGGAATGCTTGGAATAAACCCCTAATAAACAATCAAAAAATATTAATAGCAACGAAAGCAATGATATCTTTTTGTTATTCTTTCCGTCTTCATAAGTTAATTCTCTCCAGTATTGATGTCAAAAACAAATAGCAGTCTTAAATTGAAATTTTTGTTTCACACGTAGTTCCATAGATCATAACCTTTCTCAACTAGTCGCCCTCTCTTCAATATGCTATGATCCAAAAACTTTTTTAAGAACCTAAAACTTTTGCTGCAGTTCGTCAACATTTTTACTTTATATATACACTTTATAGTGCTTATTAGTGACCGTTCTTACGTACATTTTTAGAAGAGATGTCCTGTGTGGGTTTCTGGTAAACCGGCTTAACATTATATATGTGGCTCACATAACAGCATTTTGGTTTGTGCCGCATTAGGCCCACATCTTTTATGCTACCTGGGGCAATCTTTACGGCATTAAATTCAAAGAAAACCCACAGCTTGGACGCCAGCTGATCGTTGGTGCATTCTGACGACAGTATTAAGTGAACAAAAACAAAATAAACAAAAAAAAAGCAAGAATGGAACATTACAGTAAGCTGCTTTTACTGACAAAAGAGCTAACCAAACTAAGTCAAAATTTGAAAAATTTGTGAAACCAAGTGAAGCTGACTGTACCGAAAATGAAATGGTCATGAGACCATTAGCTCTATATTATACACAAAAAAGCTGATTTCGTCGCGGTTGTAGAAGAGTACGAATTTTATATAGCCTGGTCAACCTTATGCAAATATTTAGAATAGGACAGTCATCACAAAACTGTCACCTGCAGTTGTATTGTAAATAGTTACCCCAGTGGTTGGGTAGATATGGCAGCAAACAAACCAGAACGAAGGTCAAAATGATTCAATAATTGTTGTTTAAAGCATCCAATAAACTTAGAAACATTTGGAAACCATTCATAAATAGTGGTTTTACATAATACTCAAACCTGATCTTTTAATAAAAAGTTTAAACCGTCTTTGTTAGCATCGTTGTCATCGGTTCTACAATAGAGAATCAAAGTCATTAAGCACTATGCGACAATTTTGTGCACCTACTTTAGCTATGATATTATTCTTGTTCGTTAAGTGTTGGCCGCTTTTATTTCAGATTCAATGTAGCCAATTTACTGAAGGTTCGCACACCGTTAAGGTATTTTTTTAATTAAGGCAAGGAGGATATGATTTCTTTCTACAGCTTGCCTTGAGAACAAATTTATATAATGTTAAATTTGTATTAACCTGTGCCTGTATCTTTCTACGGGCAAGTTGTTGAGTTGGAGCAAATATTTTCAGTTAGAATCTCTGATAAATGTTTTTATTTTGGAGAGAAGTAAACTTGTCCATCTACCTCTTTTGTGATTAAGTAGCCAAACAAAATTAAATGTTGTGGCTAGACTTTTATCCAACTATTACATACATTTGCCGATTTGTCACTAAATATTGAAACGCAAAAGCCCACGCTCTAAATTATTGAGGGGGAAAAACTGAAATCTACAGGGCAGGCTAACTATGATCCAACAACAGGATGAAGATATTGTTAGCAGAGTGAATTGATGAAGTGGCTAATGTAACGAGAAAATTAAATAGTTCATTGAAACTGAAATTTGGACTTTTAGTTATGAAATTTAAATTGAAACAGAAATTTAGACTTTTAGTGTTGTGTTAATAATTTATTCTTGTAATGAAAATTTAAATTTAATTATAAAACAAGTAACAGTTAGATATTGTAAAAACATTCCATTTAGTGCAACTTGATAAGTAGAAGAAATGATAACACTATTCCAAGTACCTGTAAAAAACGTTTAATGTGAATTGAGTTAATTTTTGTAAGACGAGGGGTTAACTGTAACTATAAGTTTTGAGGACAACGAAAAATAGCACGAATG